GAATTGCCAGAAGTTGCAATTCCATGACCCATTGAATTAGGTCCCAGTGGCTAAATGGTTTACTAGCACGCCTTGCACCTGGAAGGTCTTTGTTTCGGACCCGGTAGGTGGGTGCACGCTCCTGAGGAGTCCTAAATAAGAAGGAAAAAGCAGCTGTCCGGTACTATCTTGCTTCTCAATGGCTCTGTAACTTTGACGTCAGATAGAGTGACCAAAACTGTAGCCAATCAAATCCCTGCAAACCAACTCTTGACAGCATCACATTAACAAATGAATACCAGTAAAGCCAAATATTTAGGAGTCTTTAGGTAGATCTCTACAGGATAAATAACAATCGACTGACTAAAAATAGAATTCATGGGTTCAGACTGTTTTATTTATTTGCTTCCAATTAGTTATTTCTAAATTTTTATTTTAACAAATCCTTTCACAATTCTGATATAAGTGATACGACAATAAATCAGCTTACAGAATCTATACAAATCTTAATAAATGCTGAATAATTTATGATAATTTCTATTGATCACAACCTTTAAAATACCAACTATAAATTTATAATAAACACTAAAATAAATGTTTTGCCAGCAATGTTTATTCAAAAATCATCATAAATAATCTTTATCACGCAACATCAATTCACTTTGTAGATCATACTAACAAAGGTACTTACAATAAGGATATACAACACCTCTTAGTTCGGTGATATCAAAAAATTTACCGAAATTCAACGAAGAACATTGCACAGATGTGCAACACCTCGAGCTGCCACTCTCACTCCATGCAGCACACATATCAAGAGAACAAAGTAAAAAGTAATGCAAAACTGAGACACTAGACAGCGATATGAGGAAAAAAGAATAGTAATATAGAAGAACCACATAGTTTTATTGGATATTATACGTTACATGGAGTGAATACATCTGCGCCAGCCATTGAGAACGATCACTTGGAGCCTTATCACCAATTGTCTCCAGCCTTCATTGGTTTTTACCATCCCGAAGACCCCAACCAGGGAGTCAGGAAGTCTACACCTCCCTAAGTGGCTGACTGGATTACACTAACTGTTTTGGATTTCATTGATTGATGAGATCATGTTTGGTTTAACCACCACTGGCTCTTTTCCAACCTGATTGGTCCTATGTCAGCTAACTTTGCCCATCGAAAAGGGCGATGACTAGGCAGTCATGAGTAACACATATCCTAACCATCTCAATCGATGGAGCTGATTCACAAACTCAACGATTGATTTCCCCTCCCACTTACCTAGCACTCGACCGATAACTGACCTCAGTATTGCTCACCTCATTATACCGCGCAGACACCTATGATTGAAGACAACTAGCCAGCCTTTTGGCGTCTTCCACTTTCAATCGCCATGTCCCGCTCACAGTCATATAGAAGGACACAGATAACTGCTGAGCAGTACACACGCCCTTTGGCCGACAGCCAGCCGGATATCACGTCAACTAAGCCAGAGACGGCATAAATTGGTATATGTGAAACGAGCCCCCTGTATCCGTGCGGAGATTTCGTCAGAGATCAACCGTTGGCGTCGGCTGATGCAACTTCTTAAATAAGTGAAGCAGTCAACGTGCTCTACCACTTCACTCCCTATTTCTAATCTAGGAGTCAGTGTAGTCCAGTCCTGCAGCGTCATCTTACATGGCGGGAGCGAATCGCAAAAGACATATTGCAAAAAACCAAAAGCAATAACTATTTCTTTAGAATAATCTGGATTTTTGCATATTCTCACTTCTGATGATGATTAACTTCCGAATAAGCAAATGATGATGTACGTGCTTTCTAAGAAAGAACTCCTCGTTTACTGTAATAACGCATTGTCATGCACAAATGAAACCGACCTGACTACGCTTAGAGGATCACTGAAAATCAACAGGAAATAAGGGAACAACTGTTTCGTCTTCCCTATTTGGGGCTCTTCATCGGAACGCACCCACCGTTACGCGTCGAACTCAGGACCTCCTGGTTATAAGGCAAGCTTGTAGACCTCTCAGCCACTGCGATACCAGCCAATTGCCCATAAATCCCAACTTTTGCCAATTTGATATGTATCCATATAATATGTGTTTTGTTTGACAGCCTGTTCTTGGTGATATGTATCCATATATTATGTGTGTTTGTTGACAGTCTGATATATTTTGCTATGTATATATGGATCGATATTCCATTATAATTAGCCAATCATGTTAAGACTGTCTATTGATTTGTTCATTTTGAATATTCGCTCACACACTTGTTCGGACATTCTTATATTTTGCTCTCACACACTTGTGTGACATTGATTCTCCTGGTGTTTTGGAAAATAGAAGTATCATCGCAAACCTAGTGGTCTTCTGATTTCCGTCTTTCTTGCGTCAGGACTATTAAATTCTCGACCAGTACATAACACAATTCGTGATATACGTAGCGTAACCTCCGGCACGTGGCTTAACCTCACACCCAAGCTGGTGAACCCCACTGGTTACGACTTCTCACTCTAATTTCTGGCAACTTCATCCTGTAAAAAATCACTAGACAGCGTTGGATGAATTTTCAAGTGTGCTGGTTTACAGGGATTAGATTGATTTCAAGTCTCATCAAGTAGTGACTTCAATTAAAGAACCACTGAAATATTTCAACCTCCCCACCCTTTGCTTTACTCTTGTACACAAAGAAGACCGACTATCTTGATGGGACTGAATTATCAGTAGTAAAGCATCAATGCATACTAGCTCTTTTATTAAATATATTATACAATAAGAAAGGAACATTTATGCAAATAGTGAAATTTTTGTGAAAGTGAACAAAGTGATGGTAAATACCACTGGAAGACATTTTCGTCCATGGTTCAGAGGCGGAATACTCATCGACCATACATGCCATACATGGTCTACGGATCGATTACCGACCAACTCATTCCTAAGCCTTACCAAGCGGGTGATAGACCCAGTAGAGAGAGAGGGAAGAAGGTTGAGTTTGGAGCTAACAACACACCACCGCTACTGAAACCCGAAACGCTGAAGCTTGAAGCCCTATTTATGTTTCAATCAGAACGCCAAGGAAAAAAAGATGAATATACTAGTTTCCAAATACACAATTATAGAAATTATATATACTTTTCGCTAGGCCGATAAGAAAACTCTAGAAGGTTCGGATTCCTCGGACGATTTGTTTACTACTATCATACAAATTTGAAGACTTCCAGGTGAAAATCAACAAGTTGGCAGAAAAAGCAACAAAGACAGGACTTCAAGTGAACAGAACCTTACGAAAACAGAGGTGATGAACCAACTAACCAACAACAGCAAACACCACCAACCACTGTCTACAGGAGAGAAACGTGGAAGAGGTCATCTCTTTCACTTATCTAGGAAGCATCGTTTCAACTACAGGTGAATCAGAAAGGCGAGACAGACACCTTCATCAGCCTCCTAAAATCCGGTTGCAAAGCTGATGTACTCAGCATAAACAACAAATTCAGTCACTGCTTCTATATGGATCAGAAACTTTGCACTCGCGTCACTAAAAGCATTTGCAACAGGTTATTACAGACTTTCATCAACAGCTACCTTCCTCAGCTCCATAGCGTAGATCAAATGGCCAGCCGATCAGAAAGAATTAGTACCGAGAAACTATAGGGACGAACCAATCAAGAACCTATTGTTCAACAAATACGACGAAGAAAATTGAAAACGGATTGGACATACGCTAAAAAGACCGTTGAATGGCACTGCGAACCAGAGGCTATCACTCAAACCCAAGAATAGGAAACCACAAGTGAATCATGGGTCCAAAGGTGACATGAAGGAGACCAGGGATTACGGGCAATCGTGGGAACCTAGCCAGTTGAAGAGAACGCAGAAAAAGGGACGAAGTGCAGATATTCTGTGTGGAGGCCTATGCTCCAGTTAGAACCCCCCAAAAAAATAATAAATAATAATTTACTTTTCATTTATTTATTTAATTATCATTCATTATTAATATTATTACACATAGAAAGTAATTCAGTGAGAAAGTAACAAAAAGTAATAACAATACATATAATGTTTTAAAATTAAAAAGAACTATTGTTCAAATTAGTAATCATTAACAAAACAGTATACAGAAAATACAGACGCCAGAAAAACAGTATGAACAATGAAAAATTTACTTGTTCTTGTATAAAAAAAGGGAGTGAAAAAAAGCCGACAAATCTCATCTTCTCTCATGACGAAATCATAAAAACTGGGAATTAAAAATGAATACTAGTCATATAGGTGGAGTGAAAGAGGAAGAGGAGGAGATAGCACAACTTACTACTTACCTTTTAAAGGCAAAATTCAAATTCATTGGAAGGTTAAAATTTGTTTGTGTGTGGAAGGGGGGGGCGCGGGAGCGGGGAACTTCATCGGACGATGACATAATAATCTCATTGGTTCTCTTGCTCCTCTTCAGATAAATAATTTTGACAATACAAGTAATCAAATAATGCTGTAGAGGAGTGTGATATGTTTGTTGACATACCACTGAAAACAATGTCAGACAGGTTGAAATAAAATATCTCTTCGAGATTTCATAACCTTTTCTCTAATAAAGTCTGTTTACGTGAAATGTACACTAAAATTCACCCGTATGTTATCAAAAAAAGATTAAAGAAATATAAGAAACACCTGATGAATACTCCCACCCTTTAATTTACAAAAAAACAAAAAACAAAATTCAACTATTAATCTCTTTGCATAAATTGACTAACCTTCAAAATGATCACTCATATTTTCCAAAATATTATCACATCAAAAGAAATTAAAAAAACAGAAATGCAATTTTACAATAAGAATAATTAAGAACATTGATGTACAAAAAGAAAAAATAGATAAAAATTCATGTTAACAAAATATAATAAACAAAATGTTCAGATAAAAAAGTAAATATGTATATATTGGCTTATCGTAGTCGTTACATAAAGTGTCTTCCAATTTGAGCACTATTCAATTCTCCCTGGACCAGCTAGTTACCGAAGTTCACTGATGATAACGATTCTGTAAGTGTCATAAACGTAATAAATACTATATATATATATATATATATATATCATCAGGTTTTACTCTAATTTACATAGATTTATACATAAATATTTTTAACTAATGACCAAATATACACATTTCCTTAGCTTTGTACCAATCTGATACTGTCTCTTTTTGATATAGAACTTTGCACCGATGTGCAACAGTTCAAGTCGCCACACTCCCTCCTTGTAGCACACAAAGCAAGAGAAGAAAGTAGAAAAAATGCATAATAGAGACAGTAAACAGAGGTGTGAGACAAAGGAAGAGTAATAACGAAGAACAATATAGTTTCATTGGAAATCATAAGTCACAAGGAGTGGATGCATCTGCTCCAGCGCCATTGAGAACGATTTTGAGCCAGCCAAATCACCAATTGTTTCCAACCATTGGTTTTTACCGTCCCAAGGACCCCAACCAGTCAGGAAGTCTACACCTTCCTACTTGGCTTAGACTAACTGTTGTGGATTTCATTGACTGGTGACATGTTTTGGTTTGACCGCCGATAGCTCTTTTCCAGCCTGACCCTATATCAGCTAACACTGACTGTTGTTGAGGAAGGTGATGACTAGGCATACGTAACACCTGTCCTAACCATCTCAGTCGATGTAACTTTACAACCTCGTCGATTGATTTCTCCTTCTTACCTAGCACTCGACTCCTAACCGCAATATTGCTCACCTTATTATACCACTTCACACGGGGAATAGAACGCAGGCACCTACGATCAAAGCCAGCTAGCCGGCCTTTTCATGTCTTCTACTTTCAACGGCTAGGTCTCACAGCCACAAAGGAGGACGGAGCGGACTGATGAGCAGTACACCCGCCCTTTGGTCGACAGCCAGCCGGATATCACGTCTACGCCAGGGACGGTGTAAACTGGCATATGCGAAACGAGCCCCCTGTATTCGTGCGGAGATTTCGTCAGAGATCAACCCGTTGGCGTCGGCTGATGCAACTTCTTAAATAAGTGAAGCGGTCAACGTGCTCTACCACTTCACTACCTATTTCTAATCTAGGAGTCAGTGTAGTCCAGTCCTGTAACGTCATTTTACATTTGACAGCAGGAGCGAATCGCATACCGTAAGCCCTCACCTGGCTGCATGAGTACGAGTAGAATGCCTTAATCAGTGCAATGTATTTTCTCGACATTCCCTTTACAGCCAAGCATCTCCAGAGAACCTCTCGGTCGACAGAATCGAATTCCGCCTTTAGGTCAAGAAATATAATGATTGTTGGACGCCGGTACGAATGCCTATGTTCCAGAATCTGTTGGAAGGTAAAGATATGATCAATACAAAGCCAATTTGGTTAGATGCCTTACGAACAGAGCAAGACGTATCTGTACAGATGACTCCTCACAAAATGAGTTAGGATACATCCAAAATACGCTGATCCAAAAGGATTATCCTAGTAGATTTGTAAAGAGACACATGAACATCAGTACCATAAAGAGAAACTGACAACAGTTGAAAAGAAAAAACTGTTCATGAAATTTCAATTTAATGGGGACGCGGCTGGCTAGTGAAGTCTTACATCTGAGATTAACGAGAGCGATAAAACGGACTTACACTGCCACCACCCTTTGTTTGTCATTTTCCAGCCGACCAATTATGATTGCACAAGTGAAAGACAAGCTACCTAGCCAGCTGTGCCACTTCTATGTGTATCTATAAATTTAGTTGCTCCTGTGGAGAGAGCTATATAGGGCGAACAACTAGACAGCTTAACAAATGCATTAATAAGCATCTTCCTTCATGGTTTGGAAAAAGTCAAATAAAATCTATAAGAAGTTCTATTTTGGCTCATTTGATTGATAGCGGTGACCAAGTGGAGGGAAATAGTGCCTTCAAAGTTATCTATCGTACTCCATTAAGCATTTAGAATGGAATCAGAACCCGTCTTTAACACATAGCCGAAGCTGTGGGAATGAATTCGAAGAACAATCCTAGTCTTTGCATACAAAAGACGTTTGTCCTACCTTTGTCTCTCCCTTGCTTCGCCTAAGTGAATTCTATTCAAAACCCTCCCACCCTTTCTTATTTTCCATCTCCTTCGGATTTTTATGATATTTATTAAAACTCGGATTATCTGTCCACTTCACCTTTAGTATCACGTAAGTTTCAAGATTTGACCTAATTTATTTATTTATTGAATTGTCTACATATACATATATTACCACCTTTGTTATTCTTATCGCCACCTGCATAAACCTTATTATCAATATTTTGTTATCCTTATAATCATCGTAATTAACTACGTTCAAAACATTTACCACATTATTATTATTTGATCCACAAATCCACCGTCATTGGTTAAAAATTTTTATATATAAGTCTATGTAAATTAGAGTAAAGCCTGATGAAGATCTAATTGAAAACAACAGCATTGTTCGCTTATATGTCTTGTTCTAATATTAAAAATGGGAATATTTAAAGATATATATATATATATATATATATATATATATATATATATATATATATATATTTCAGGTTAGACCACAGATCGATATCAATTAGAGAACGATTGAAAACTAACAGGGAGTACTGAACAGTTTGGGTAGAAGTTAAAATTCATGGACTATTGAATTGGTTCCCAGTGGCTGAATTTGTCTACAACCACGCCTTGTAAAGCGAAGGTCCTTGGTTTGAAGCCTAGAGGTGAGTGCGCACTTTCAATCAATCCCAAGTTAGGACGAGACAGGTGTCTAATACTCCCAGTTGGTTTTCAATGGTTCTCTAACTGATATCGATCTGTGGTCCAACGGCAAGTGAATACAATGCCTACAAATTGATTCTTGAAAATATATATATTTAAACATATGCAATTGATAGTGTTCACTGAGCTGGTTGGTTTATTTGCGGAGCTTTTGTCGTCCACCTTCTGGACAACATCCCCTTTCAGCGCAATTTTTAGCATAAAGTGAAATGATTTAAATTTCTTCATGAGTGATAGAATTGTGTCTCCCGGTAACCATCTTTACATATGTATTGATCACCTTAATTTGGCTTGGATTTTAAACTATCTCGTCACATGATTTACTTTTTATTAGTTGGTATATTTGGTCTATATTAACGTATTTGTTAATTGCACATTCGTCTGAGTACCAGGCTTCGAGGAATTCCCTGGTGGCGGCATTTCTGGTGTTTCCTCTGTTTAAGATTTCGACACTATCCCAATCAAATTGATGTCCATAATTGTCTATGTGCATTGATATGAAAGAATATATATCATGTCTTTTCACGGCTGATTTGTGTTTCTGGATTCTGATTCGCAGAGGACACCCACTTCGACCACCGATGTAATGTCTGTTACAGTTCATACAATTTAATTTGTAAATTGTATTAATTTTATCTCCTTTTTCTGTTGGATCTTTCGGTTTGAACAATATCGAATTAAGTGATTTGAATGGCTTGTGTGCTATATCTATATTAAACGGTTTCAGTATTCTAGCTGTTATTTCAAAGATATTTCTCATGTATGGTAGGATGAATTTTCTTGTCGTCTTTGATGATGGTTCCTTGTTGGTATTGTGATTCTATTTGAAACACTTTTCGATGAAATTTTGTGGATAAATCTTCTCTATGATATATATATATATATATATATATATATTAGGTGGTTGAATTCGATCGACAGGAAGCGCCAGACCTACGTTTTGTGCTTGTTGGAACTCATCAGTCAGTCAGCCAGCAAGGCGTATCTGCAACCTTGAAGGAACTCATATGCCTTCTGAGATTCGAACCCACGTCATCCATTGAATACTGCAGTCAGAGACATGAATAGGCATGAATATACCATTTAAACTTAAGCTAATACAAGGTATCAATTGAGAAAGCTATAGGAATATCAAGTTGAAATTTACCAGGCGTTAAAATTTAAGGCTATATAAAGGGGAGGGGGAAGGGGGCAACTTGAGGTTGACCTTTCTTTCTACATACTGTACACATTATTCTCTTCATGCATTGATACAATATGAGAGGTATATGGCATCAGAAGTCTATAACTACTTGAATTGTACTGACATATTTACCTCGGATTAGCTCGTATAATGTTCCCGGCCGACAACTGCTACCTTGCCGTGGTGGTCGGGCTTGAATACCGCAATCACCCAACAAGCTAGGCTGACTGGGACTCTGTCCCTGCAGGTCCTACCATGTCAGGAAGGTTCTCAGGATAGCGGTTAAACTAAAAGCAGTTATCATGGGGTACATGGACTCCAGAATCCAATCGGATCAAATGGCGTATGATCCCATACTGGTCACCGGAAACCATGGGAATGCAGCTCCTGACGCTGATCTGCTGCCTTGCGGATTAGACTCCAAGTCAAAGGCTCGGGGGTGGGCTCTTAATAAAACCACCTGCTTCGGTCTGGGCGCCCGAGCACTATCTCAGCCTTTACACAACAAATGAAATTTAGTGTAGCCCATCTTTCTTGGTGACATATTGTAGCAAGTTTTCTTCTCCGTTTAAATAAAATAAATAATATACGTATTAGCTCATATCTGTTGGGAAATTAAATTATTGTAGGAACACAATGTGTATACTATGGTAGAACTTACTAAATATGCAACACATGCACTCAATGGTATCCACAAAATAAGAGAAAGAATGATTGTGGAGAGTGTTAGGTTGTCCCAAACAATAGTACCTATTTGAAATAGAAAATATTTCATTAGTCAAAATAAATTTTAGAAAAAACAAAACCAATATCAGTTTAACTACTTAATTATTATTTGAAATAATTATTTCTCTTTACGAATTTCGATTAGAAACAATAAGAATAATACGTGATTTATGTGAATCGTGTACTGTAGTATTGGATTAACATATTTCAAACATTCTGATTATATATACTTGTGTGGCGTGTGCTACTGATAAGATTTATCAGCGGTATGTAAACGCAGAAGCACCTAAAATTGAAAACAAACATCTTAGGACAGTGATTAGAGAAGTAGAAGTGTTTATTTCTCGAATCAGGATAAAGTTTACGTTGTGGTCAGGAAATAGTCGTATTGGACGACTTTATACCGAATAATCAGAACAGTTTATTACCCGCTGGCCTAGCAGATCTTAAAATGTATAAATATGTTTTTCCGTAATAAAAAGTTCGTCACCGAGACTCTTGTCTTCTCTCATTACAACCGGAATACGTGAGAAAATAATGAAACGTTGAGGAATGAGAGGTCAGATTGAAAAACTATATTGAAGGTTAAAATACAAAAGAGATCAATAAACGAGAGAAGGAGAGATAATAGTACATCTACTGCGGTATCATATCAAATTTAGCCAGGGAAGGCTTAATGTGATCATGAATTATATTTGAATAAATGAAGGTGCTTTAAACTTCATAATCACTAAGGCTAGGAGCCTTCCACAAACATTAGGATACCCCCTAAACACGTTATATAGATTAGGTTTAAAAGGTGAAAAAACCAATTTTATATTGTCCCTATGATGTTTCGCAACAGAAGAGCTAGGTAATCCATTTTCACTGTTAATCGGTTCAGGGGAATCCATTTGCTTCTGAAGCGATTTAAGGATATGCTTTGAAGCCCTTATTTATAAAGACCGATCAATATTGCGGTTAGGAGTCGAGTGCTAGGTAAGGAGGAGAAATCAATCGACGAGGTTGTAAAGTTACATCGACTGAGATGGTTAGGACAGGTGTTACGTATGCCTAGTCATCACCTTCCTCGACAACAGTCAGTGTTAGCTGATATAGGGTCAGGCTGGAAAAGAGCTATCGGCGGTCAAACCAAAACATGTCAGCAGTCAATGAAATCCACAACAGTTAGTCTAAGCCAAGTAGGAAGGTGTAGACTTCCTGACTGGTTGGGGTCCTTGGGACGGTAAAAACCAATGGTTGGAAACAATTGGTGATTTGGCTGGCTCAAAATCGTTCTCAATGGCGCTGGAGCAGATGCATCCACTCCTTGTGACTTATGATTTCCAATGAAACTATATTGTTCTTCGTTATTACTCTTCCTTTGTCTCACACCTCTGTTTACTGTCTCTATTATGCATTTTTTCTACTTTCTTCTCTTAGCTTTGTGTGCTACAAGGAGGGAGTGTGGCGACTTGAACTGTTGCACATCGGCGCAAAGTTGTATGTTGAAAACAACAAAGATCGATGAGTCCTCCCTATGTAAGTGTGATCGGACGTACGTTTAAATTGGTAAATACAGTGGAATTTAACATCATTTTTAATGTCCTAAGTGTTTTGATGGATATATACAAGGAGAATGGGTCTTGGTGTTCTCACGACTTGACATTTTCTCTGGATAATGACTACCAACCAGAGTTTTCGTCAGTTTTCTTTCTTCATCTTCAAGTGTATCTTCTGTGAATATTAGTTAGATTCTACTTGAAGAGGCACCTCGCCATGGCTCTTTTGCACATTTTTGAACTGATTAATTACCTTGATGGTATTAATATTAAAAGCTAAGAATATGTATTCTTTTAATGTGAACTCTTTATTCACAAATGTACCCCCTACTCAAAACATTTTAATCATAAGTGATAATCCTTGTTCTGCTACATCAATTTTAAGTCGAATGCATGCAGTACAAAATAATACATATTACTTACGTCTGTAGAAGAGGAAGTTAATAATTGTTTATCTCTCCTAGATGTATTGCTTCCTTGACTGCTAGATGGATAGATACAAGGACTTATTTACAGAAAACCTATCTGTTCCGTACAAAATAGTCTTGGTGAGGTGCCTCTTAAATAGGATTCAACAACTATGCACAGACAATACGCTTGAAGATGAAGAAAGGAATGTGACAACAACTCTGGTTGATAGTAATTATCCAGTGAAATTCATAAGGAGGTATAAAGTGATCAGAACACTAAGACACATTCTCTAACTTGCTGATAAGAAGGATGTACGCATCACTTAATTAAGTGAAAATATATTTATTGGATTGAAACCATGTACATCTACACCTGCTGTGTAAGGGCTGTTGACACAACTTGACTACCTACAATCCAGATGAAATCTCAGTGAGTCGGTGGTTCAGCGATAGGATGCTCACCGATATTGAGGTGAGACGTCGAGTGCAAGGTAAGTGGGAGGGGAAATCAATCGACGAGGTGGTGAAGCAGCTCCATCGATTGAGATGGTTAGGATATGTGTTACTCATGGCTGCCTAGTCATCGCCCTTTTCGATGGGCAAAGTTAGCTGACATAGGACCGATCAGGTTGGAAAAGAGCCAGTAGTGGTTAAACCAAACATGATCTCATCAATCAATGAAATCCAAAACAGTTAGTGTAATCCAGTCAGCCACTTAGGGAGGTGTAGACTTCCTGACTGCCTGGTTGGGGTCTTCGGGATGGTAAAAACCAATGAAGGCTGGAGACAATTGGTAATATGGCTGAAAATCGTTCTTAATAGCTGGCGCAGATGCATTCACTCCTTGCAACTCATAATATCCAGTAAAACTCTATTGTTCTTCCATATAACTATTCTTTTTTGCTTTATATCACTGTCTACTTTCTCTGGTTTGCATCTCTTTTAACTTTGTTCTCTAGATTTGTGTGATACATGGAGGGAGAGTGGCAACTCAAGCAGCTAGACATCTGTGCAAAGTTCTATGTTGAAACCAGTCAATCAGTCAGTCATGCTAACAAACCAGGCATATAGACCAGGGTTCGATTACCTACCAATGGACATCTTTACCTCCCCTAGCCGGTCGTGTAAGCCCAACCAAGAAAGGAGGTTAGATCTGAGGCTAGCAACCCAATCGAGTAATCTGAAGCTTGAAGCTCCCTATGTTGCCCTCGGAACTCAAAGGAATACAAAAAGAAAGTTTCATCGAGAGTTGAACTCATAACTCACTTGGATATAAAAGTAAATTTTTTTAGGCTAGCAGACCACACACAACCAAAATAATAATTTTTCCTTCACGTTCCCAGTGGAACATAGGGCTTCAAGCTAATGGCCTGAAGTTTCTGTAGCAGTGTTTATTTTTACAGGATGGGGTTGCTAGCCTCATGCCCAACCTTTCCTCTTTACCAGCATTATTTATGGCTCAGCGAGGTAAAGGAGTGCGTCAGCCAGGGATCGAACCCCGGACCATGTGCATGGTCAGCGAGCGTCCTAACCGCTGTACCACTGACGCACACACACACAACCATAATCATCATTATTAATGCACAATTTTTTTATGAGAAAAATAGTAGCATCAACGAATTCATACGAAAAGGGGATGATGAATTTATCATTACATACATCTTACACTGCATACATTACACCTGGATTTTACGGATGATTTATGTTTGATGTCACAAAAAGTCGAAGACCTACAAGCAAAAACCGACAAACTGGTCGAAGAAGAAGCCGGCGAAGACAGGACTCCAGGTGAACATAAACAAGACGGAAGTTATGAAAATAACCAACCAACAACAACAACAACAGCTGCAGCATCCAGCGCCAATCACCATCAACGGGAGGATTTGAAAGAGGTTACTTCATTCAGTTATCATCTAGGGACCATTGTCTCAACTACAGGAAGTCGGACGAGAATCAGGAAGGAGAGAAACACATTCATCAACCTGAAACCAATCTGGAAATCTTCGTCACTCAGCTCAGCATCAACAACAAAATTCGGTCGGATTTTCAATACAAACGTCAAGTCAGTTCTTCTATACGAATCAGAAACTTGGAGGGTGGGTCACAAAGAATATTTCCAACAGCCTGTTGCAGACCTTTATCAACCAACAACTGTCTTCGCTGGATCTATACTGAAGATCAGATGGCCTAGCCGGAAAGAATCACCAACAAGAAACTATGGCTGGGAACAAACAAAACAAGAACCAATCGTCAACGAACAAATATGCAGGAGAAAGTGGACTGAGATGGATTGGACACTCGCTCAGTGAGGAGGCCGCCGGGTGACATCTCGCGCGCGTCAGGCCATTGCTCGGGTGGAACCCGACAGAATGGGAGGCGGCGAGTGGGCCGTCGGTGCAAGGGTGACATGGAAGAGATGGTGTGAAGAGGAGTTGAAACAGTATGGACTAACATGGATGCAGGTGAAAAGTACAGGAGAAGACAGAAGCAAGTGGAGACATGCAGTTGAAGCCCTATGTTCCACTAGGAACCCAAGGGAACAATAACAATAATAATACATCTTGACAATAATACTTACCGAAATTCTTCTGTCTTGAATAATAAACTGGTGTCCAAAACCTTAATATTCGCTTACTTCTTGATTCAACACATCTGCCTGACATGCAGTAACCATAATGACATGGTCGATAATCCTGTAGATGAATATGCACTAAACGTGGATTATGATGATTGTAGGAAACTGGATTTGCTGTTGGCATCATCATCAATTGACTTGTAGAGAGTACTTTAGTCTGACTACGTGTAAAATGATATGTACTATTTGATAAATACTTGCTATATAAATGTAGTATACGAGATGATAAAAATGGTGAAAATGTATGCACAGAGTAGACAGCTCGTTTTGAATAACGTATCAGTGAGTATGATTTATAAAAGTCTGAATCGTCTCCTTTATGCATTGCATAATGTGATATATATTCATCCTGAGACAGTATGACAGGAAGACATGTCATGCTTTGATTTAAACTTGGATCTGACATTGGAAATAAACAGCATATGAAGCAGGACTCCTCAACTAGAACCAACAAAAAGTAAAGTAAAAGGATACATTCAAATGAACTGTCGTCAAGATTTGACAGAATAGTTCTAAAATATTCGGGTGCTGCGCTGAGTGAGAAGTAGACATTTGTAAAAAATTATATTTGTAAAATCTCTGCCAGATTGAAATGAGTAATTCCAACGTTTACTGCGTTCGGCAATCTGGTCCGAACTTACTCAGGGAAATTAATCGAAATTAACATAACAGAGGTTTATATATAAAAAGAACACTTCGCGTTTTTTAAATCATGATTCATAAAACAAGTATAACAAACAAAATTGTATCAGCTGTGATCAAAATTTGACCTCGGACTTACAAATATTGGTCTACCTTTGTTAAACACTTTAAACACAGTGTGTATGTGTGTGTGTGGGGGAAACAGATGTAAAACATTTCTTAACGTCTCCATAAGAAGATATAGACATTTCCTTTTATATAAACCTGTTATGTTAATTTCGATTAATTTCCTGAAGAAGTTCGGACCAGATTGTCGAACGCAGTAAACGTTGGAATTACTCATTTCAATCTCGCTGAGATTTTACATATATAATTTTTTATCAAAGGATGCATGTTAAAATTATGCATAGAGTTTTGTCTACTGAATTAAAAATATCAGTAGTTTATGCAGCATTAACCAATTAGTAGACAAACATCACAAGGTGTGATTGAAGAGATTTCCCAATTTCAGTATAATTACATCGTGAACACGAAAAAGCTTACAATAATTATATGTATTTAACGATACTACAGCCAAATGAGACAAAAGGATACACTAATAATCAATTAGTATAAGAAATCAGGTAATGCGATACAGTGTAAGTGCATAATAGGTAAATATTGATTTAGTAACATATAGTTTGGAGTAACGTGTACCCATTAAAAGAAACTAATGATTAGAATCGACTTTTGATCATCTTTCAATAAATGCTCAACAGGAAGTACTTCTCCTAGATTCTTCTTACTGCTAACGTTAAACACATTCAAACTAATCATTTTGAGGTGTAAATTCTTAACGATAAGGCACTGCAGGGTTTCGATAATCCAATCCAATATATATGTCTGTATATTTTTCTTCTAGCTGGTAAATGACTAACTGGCTACAGGATGAAGTTTCCTGGAGTTCTAGTCAGAAGTCTTGACTAGAATGGAATCCATCACAAGGTCGACAGTCAGGTCAGGATAGTCACCCATCGGTGACATTGGCTGGTGGTTGCATTAAAATCACCAATTGGTAAAAGTCAAAATTCATGGTTCATTGTATCAGGTCCCAGTGGCCTTGTAACCGGAGAATTATTCTGGATCCGAACGCTGATGGTGGCTGCGTACTTCGCATGAGTCGTTAACTAGGACAAAACACCTGTCCAGTACTCTCAGCTAGTTTTCAATGGTTCTCCAACGGACATCAATCTGTGGTTACGTTTGGAACATGTCTGTATAACCAAAAATCAACCTATAGATGCAGTATGAAATAAAATCAAAGCGGTTTCGTTTTGTGATGTCTATCACTGGAATAGAAAACTTCTGAGACACACGTGACATTTTGATGCTTGATCGAACTAACTGACTTATCAATTATATAATCCGGTATTGTCAATGAAGACAACTTTCTTGGTTACTGCAGCTAACGCGTTGCTTATGGATAGTTTTTCTTTTTTAGGACATATATTGAAGTTTACCGGATATACTTTACTGTACATGACTGTAGTATGAACCATTGTAACGACAGAAGACAAAGGCCAAGCAACAGATCGTTTATTGAGGAAATCAACAGATATTTATATTGCATGAAAGATTTCACCATTAGCTGACATTGGTTAGAGAACCATTGGAAAACCTGGGAGTACTGGAGAGCTGTTTCATCCTAGTTTGGGACTCCTCAACAGTACGCACCTACCACAAGGGTTCAAACCCAGGACTTCTGGTTACAAGGCGAGTTCGTAGACCATTAAGCCACTGGGACCCGATCCAATGTTCAGCCGACGAATTCTAACTTCTGCCAATTCACGACATAGCGCGACCATTTCGCAATGTCTTCTGCGAATCCAGTACTGTCCAGTACTCCCAGGTTTTCCAGTGGTTCTCTAAATGATGTCAGCTTATGATGACATCTTCCATACAATCAAGCAAAATCCCTGCAAAACCAATACTTGAAAGATATTAATATGCTTTTATATACATTATTATTCGTTATTACTATTTTTTATTTTTTATCATAGCTTGATTCCGCACCGTATTTTTGGTACAAGTATGGAATTTTCAGCATATGATATCGGAGCCCAATTTCGCAGGCTAACCATCAATATCAAGTGTGCATCGGCAGGGGATCGAACCCCTGACCATGTGCATGGTCAGCGAGCGTCCTAACCGCTGTGCCACCAACACACTAGCAGAGAAACAGAGTCTTCTGATTGGTTGTTTTCACTCTCTGAAAGTAATTCTACCATCTCTTTGTGGCCGTCTTCCTTGAAGGTCAGACCATATATCTGCGAATCGTATCCGCCCACGCAAAGTCTTTATTCTTGTTTTTCTCATCACCACGATTTGGGAAGTAAATAAACATTGACGTAAATTGCTGTCTGTGAATTTTGGCTATCAGACAGCTCTCATCACACCGTATTTCACTATTCAAGTACTATGAAGTGTTTTAGAGAATGTACTCAGAACGAAAGTTTTCATATTCGTACCTAAATGGTTTAATAGCCTCATGAAATCAATGCATTAAAAGTTCATAAATCATATCATCATCATCACCAATCACGAGCGGTATGAACTCGTTTCCTGAAAAATGATAGGCTATATAATCCCTAAAAGAAAGGGACTTTGTATGCAAAAAAAATTCATCAGCTTTTCCTTCGTTATTTTTTTTCACCTACACACTATAATCCCATAAAATGATGTACGCCGCTTGGAGTACGTTTTTATGTTGCCACATTTCTATTTTCAATTTTTATTTATGCCTTATTTCAGTCAATCTTTCAATGGTAGAATAGCTCACCAGCCACGCTGCGGATCCGCGCTCGATTCCCGGTAGACATACTCTTAAACCTTGCCAAAACGACCATAAGCCCACAAAAGAGGCAAGGTTATGAGTGAGGCTAAAAACTATAGAGAGTAAAAATAACACACAGTTAATGAAACTCAAAGGCTTGAAGCTCTTTGTTACTATATGTGTAAAACTTGGGCACTGTGGTAGTAAGTAATTTCATGTTAGTGTGTTTATTAGATGCATCACACAGTGATGAAACAGTATTATTTACTGGATAACGAAGTTTCGAAGACATTTGATTGTTCATAATCATTCCATCAATTGTAATCACACGACTTTGAAACTTGAGTTTAATAGTTAACTTTGTTCTCTCCTATTTGTCGTCGTTGGGGTAGTAGAACTTTCCAGATATCTGGATGGACAGGTGTTGAATCATTCCTATTACATGTACTTGCAGTTGATTCGATGAAAGTGGCATTCAAACCCACAAACTCAATTAGAAATAAGCTTTGTCGGTTAAAGGATCCTGTGGAGCCTTTAAAACAAAACAGTTGAGTTTATCTAATACCCTGCGTGCAATGATTGTCAGGTCGAATACATAGGTCAGAGTAGTAGACTAGCCGAGCATAAAAACCTAGCTAAATCTAGAATACTTGACCTAAATAAGATAATAAATATAGAGAATAGTTCACCTATAGCACAACATCCAGTTACACACAACCATACAACAGGATGGAATAAGATGACAGTTTTAAAATCTGATCTAATGTCACAGGGTGGAGGGAGAGATTGATAACAGAAGCTTTGTGTTATCGAATCAACTGCATATACATGTAATAGGAATGATTGAACACCTGTCCACCCAGATATCTGGAAAATTCTACTACCTCAACGACGACAAATAGGAGAGAACAAAGAAAACTATAAAACTCAAGTTTCAAAGTCGTGTGATTACAATTGATGGACTGATTATGAACAATAAATTTTGTTCGAAACCGTGTCATTCATTAAATAATACTGTTTCACTGTGTTATGCATCTAATAAACAAACTAGTATTAAACCTCTATGCTTCACCTGTAACTCAAAGGAATGAGCAGTAACTAAAAGAACGAGGAGTTCAGCAAACAGGTATCTATTTTTTTCGGCGATTTTAATCTCAAAATCAGCTGTACAATCGCATTTATATGAATAAGTTTATAAAGATACACAATTACTATTTAATTCCACATAATAACGAAGGAGATTAATATGAAAGGTGTGAATATATGAATAACAAGGGGTTTAGAAACAAAACTACACAGGCATAGAAAATAGTTGCATTACATGTAAAATAGCTTTTTTTTAACGAGTACAGGTGTAAACTGGGTGAGCATAGAAACAAATTGAGATAACGGTTTTCTATAACTGAAAATGAAAACAAATTAAGTCACATAAGTTAAACCGAACTAGATCCATGATAAATGTAGAAGTTGGATTAGTTTCTTTTGAACACGTAGTTCCGGCTTTTCGATACATAATATGGCGAGGGCTTCTGCAGTACATAAAAGTCGGATACACACTGCCTTTGGTAGATTTTTTTTACTATGTAAATTACTCCGAATGATGAATCAGTTGAGATACCATGACACGTATTTACCAGGTATTTATAATTAGGGGCTTTGGATTGAACCGGTGACTCTGCATTGTAGGCATGCTGTGTAATGTTCTCTAAGAACGACCTATATACCTAACTGCCCACGAACAGATGGGCATCTGATATGAGTACATTGAAGTGGTTATACACGGAAACCTGTCCTTCACATTGCTTAGAAGCAATAGGCGACTGGAGAATATCACTCTTAGAGTTCCTGCAGAAAAGATTTTCTTTAAGGATCTGGAGATTCTCCTCTTAAAGATATCTACAGCTAAGTCTTCTCTGAAGTCGTCTCGAATATATATTGTTTTCTTTGGTAATGAAGTGCATTCCTCTCTTTTTAGTTCTGGTTTCACATTCTTCCCCAGGAATAATAATAATAATTTGCTTTATTCCAAAACAGCAATGTGATACAGAATGGAATTCTCAGCATTCCACTACAGTATTACATGCAGTTAGTACATTAACAATAAATAAAATTCTACATAGACTATGGGTAGTCTCAGTTAATTTTGACAACAACATATTAGCATGTCGGTAGCAAAGCCAAAATTAAACAGAGTGTTAGAAGGTGTTGGAAAAGTAGGTTCTAGCATATTTACTGGCGTAGGCGGTAACAAAAGGTCGAGATATACAGAGTGTGAAGGAACGAAGAATATTTTAATAGGGTTAGTAAGGAAGAAAGAAACAAAGGAGCACACAACAGAAATAAAGAGAAAAGGAAAAAATTTTAAGCGTGGTACCCATGAGTTGGAAAGACGAGATCCAGTTGTTCTACTGACTATTTAATAAGTTATAGGTATCACGCCTAATGCTTTCTTTATCCCACAGAACACGAGCTAAGTAGGGTATAGTTGAGTTTTTGTACTCTCTAGTGCAAGCATATAGTTTTCTATATAGGCTTCTGATTCTGTTTGATGAGATACAAGGGGAGAGTTGTGAATGAAGAGCGTGGTGGTGTGAGTTAGATAGAATGGATCGAGCCCATTTTTCACATGAGTCCATGTGCCTGTCGACCAGAGTATTAACAAGCTGGTTAAGTGGCACGTTGCTTACGCTGCTGACAACCTTTGACACTCTACGTAATAAGTTATAGTCCTTCTTCAGTAGCCCTGGAAAAACTAAGGGGGAACAATAGAGAATAATAGGCAGGATGCAAGAGTTAACGAATCGTAGGAGTAAGGGTTGGGTTATACCAGAATGTCTTAACTTCTTGATGTAGAAGGTAAGACGGAATATTTTCTTAGAAATGATCAAGATATGAGACGACCAGGAAAGATCAGCAGAAACGTTCGGCGTATCCATTTTGAGCCAAGATGTTATCACTCCACATTTTAACTTTCATTTTGATGTAATTTACTCTGTTCAAAAACTTTGTTTATTAACTCTCCATATTCTTATAAAATAAATTGTTATGTCAATTTACCCGCTAAATTGACTATGTCAATCTTCCAATTTGTTTTGTAGGCTTATTTGACGTGCCTGTGATTTCATTATGCGAAATCACTACAAAAGATTAAGTTCCTTCGGAATATTGATCATGTAAAAATACATATATTTACTCAATTACTTCATCTCCATGAATATACGAAAGTTAGGTTGACAACATCAATCGAAATGTCACTAAAAATTCAAGTCACACATATACATAACATAACTCACCTGCATCACAAATACAAGTTTCTAAACCAAGACTATCACAGAATGGATGACATTGGCCTTCAAAACACCAACCATATTCATCACAATGACCAGTAGATAATAGTTTTGGACCAGGACAAATAGGTGATACACCATTACACTGACCAGGTCTTAAACAAGGATTAGCTTTGCTGGTCTGTGCACAAATAGTATTATTCGATGCATACTGGCAATCTGTAAAATTAAAAGAAGTGGAATAACAATGATTGTTTAGAAAACAACTGGCTTATTTTATCACTCCAGAAAATTGTTTAATTCACAACCAACTAATCAAGCAATACAATTTAGTTAACGCGCAATGAAGTAATAGAGTTATGAATTTTGTGGACGGATGGTGACTACTAGCAGTGGAATCCACTGGATGCATATTTCGTCCTATTTGGGATTCATCAGCAAATAGATGTGCTTACATTCCCCAGTGAGTGATGGCGTTTCCACTGAGACTGGGACCCGGTGTCTATCGGTTCAAACACAAAAAGAGCCACCTTTATTACAACGGATGCCCAACACACTTCGGTACAACCAACCACCGATGGTGAATCAAATTCTAGTTAAAAACAAATAATAACTGGTGCTTGTTGAACAAAAGATGACTCTCTTGGCCCAATTGGTCTAGTGGATAACGCTTCAGCGTTTAGAACTATTGGTCCTGAGTTTGGGTCTCAGTGGGAAGACCATCAGTCACTAGGGAGTGCAGGTACATCTGTGGTGTGTGCTAATGGAGAGTTATACGGACTGTAAGCTTCTCCAATAATATCATCCTGTAACATCTCTTTCACTTGTCGTCCAACTTCGCCTTCTTAATGACATGAGACTCTTCGCGTTGTGAGTGCTGCCATTTTGTGATCGCTCAGTGGGACTTCATGCCTCACCTTATTACAATAACCATAGAGGTCCCCATCTCCAGTGAACAAAAGATCGTGTTCTTTAACTAACACTGTCATTGCCTCCAACCATCTAATACCAATATTTCCTATCCTTTTAATCATCCACAAATATACAAAATCAAAATGTAAGCAATTAGACGCACAACAACGATGAAAAGAAAAAGAAATTCGTTTTGTTTTTACATGTTGATATCAATGATAGAAATGTATTTAATCAAAAGTATGAATGAAAATCTTACTCTTACCAGAAGTACAACAAGCATGATTCCATGGTGAACAACGAGCACCCACTTTAAGTAAACAATCAGAATTACAACAACGATCATGTGGATTTCGACCAGCATCACATTCTTCACCTTCATCAATACGACTATTACCGCAGAGATTTGAAAAAGCCACTGATGATGAATCATCAAAACACAATGGAGCACGATTAACTAAACAAGCACCAATTGTACGTAAGCTACATGGTGAAAATTTCTAAAGAGATAGTTATAAATAATAATAATAAATTGATATTAACACTGATTAGTTGCATGAAAATGTATCCAAGATAGAAATGTATTACATAACATAACATGAACCTTTGCCTTAATGAGCAAGACTATGAAAAGAGTACTGAAAGACATTGGTTAGTGGTTGCACTATATTGTGAATTGGCAGAATTTAGAATTCATGGGCTGGCCTATTGGGTCGGTTCCCATTGGCTTAATGGTCTACGAGCTAGCTCGCCTTGTAATCAGAAGGTCCTGCGTTCGAACCCAGCTGGGGTGGGTGCGTATTGATGAAGAGTCCCAAACTAGGATGAAACAGCTGTCCAATACTCCCAGGTTTTCCAATGGTTCTCCAACCAATGTCAGCTCATGATGAAATCCTGTAACCAATCAGCCGAATCCCTACAAACCATTACTTCAGTACTGAAAGGTCTTACTGTAGTGAGATGAGAGCTGCCTGCAAGCCCAAATTGTCGACAACAATTTACGTTTATGTTTACATTCCGAATAGGGGTCATGAGAAGAAACAAGATCAAAGCCTAACCTTCAGGAACTCAGCAACCAACCACAACATATATAAGTATAAAACTTGGGCACTGTGGTAGAGTATAACTCCATTATGAATTAGATTTTATTCTGATAAATCACACAGTGTTGTACAGTAATATTAATTGATGACCACGTTTCGAGCACAAACTATTGCTCATAATCATATCAAGCTACTTGATATACATACATCATACATCAGATAGATTGTGTTGAGAAGAAATTAACCAGCCAAACTGTTCAGATGACTAACTCTCACACACACACGCACACACATGCATTTGCATGATGTAGAAAACAACGCTACAACTTACTCCATTATTTTCTGCATACCCTGAAACCGAATATGTATACATCAAGTATTTTCCATGACTTGTTGCCGTTGGATTACATTCATTTGTATCAGGATCATGATCTGCACCCCAACTATGGCCTAATTCATGAGCTGTAATTAATTCAGCTAACGCATTAACAAGTTGTTGACCATTATAATCAACATAAGTAGTCCATCCTGTATTTAAATATAAAATTCCTTTACTCTTTTGTCGAACTAATTTGAAGTAAAAAATGAAAGAGAAGAGAAGAAAATAACACGTAACCTGATTAATAAAAACAACAAAATATCTACACAATCTGAAGTTAATAATATAAGATTTTATGATTGGATATGACGATTGATTGTTGTACTTGATTATTAGAATGTTAACTGCCTAAGCATTGAAGTTTGTGTAGCAATTTGGCGGGTCACAAAGAATATTACCAACAGCCTGTTGCAGACCATCAGCCAACAACTGTCTTCCCTTTATACTGAAGATCAGATGGTCGGGTCAGAAAGAATCATCAACAAGAAACTAGCTATGGGAACAAACAAAACAAGAACCTCGCTCAACAAATATGCAGGAAAAAGTGGATTAAGATGGATTGGACACTCGCTGAAAAGACCGCCGCTTGGTGACATCGCGCGCGCGTCAGGCCATCGCTCGAGTGGAACGTCGGTGAAAGGGTGACATGGAGAAGATCGTGTGAAGAGGAGTTGAAACAGTATAGACTAACATGGATGCAGGTGAAAAGTACAGCAGAAGACAGAAGCAAGTGGAGACATGCAGCTGAAGCCCTATGTTCCACTAGGAACCCAAGAGAATAATAATAATAAATTGCCTAAGCCAAATAGTTACAATTCTATTTCACTTCTATGAAAGAGTATATACTGTTGAAGAGATATATAACGTGGTTACAGGTAACTCTTACTTCATGAGAATGCTGAACCTACGAGCTTTTGAAGGGCCCAACAACAATTTCCTCTCAAGAGTTAACTTGCAGGGATTTTGTCACGAGTTGATAGCAGTTGCGGAACTAATGGAAAACCAGGGCACTCACCAAGGTTCGGACCCAGGACCTTCCTTCTAGTTACAAGTCAACCTCTTAGGTCACTCAGCCACTGGGACACGACTCTATGACCAGCCCAGGAATTCCAAATTCTACCAACTGGTTGGATTTTAGCACGACTGTCATCGGCGACTACTTATCCTCACTCCTGATCTAGGTGATGGACTTGACACTGGTCCCTACTTCTGACTAGAACTCCAGGCAACTTTTTTCCTGTACAGCCAGTCACTAACGAGCGTTCTACTAATTTTCAAGAGTTAGTTTGTTGAAATTTGATTTGTTTCAAGTCTGGTCACGATGAAAACCGATTTCTTATTAGTAGATAAGTTCCAACACTTCATTTTATAATTATCTATGGAATTAGAACAGGAAAGCACACTTCTGAGGTAGATACAAGGGGTCCCGTTTAACAACAGATATCATTACGACCGAATAACACAGAACAGTAAATATTTGTTTCATCCTGGTTTGCCATTCTTCAGCAATGCGCCCTAACACGCTGAAGAAAGAATGACATCAGACTCGCCAAAGTACAGGGTAATCACATCCCCATTTATTCACAATGACAAATAATGATTCCCAACGCCGACTCAATTTAATATTTTATTTTTTTCTTTCCTTTACGTTCCCCAGTGAAACATAGGGCCTCAAGCTAGTGGCTTGAGGTTTCTTTACCAGTGTTTAATTTTTACAGGATGGGGTTGCTAGCCTCATGCCCAACCTTTCCTCTTTACCAGAATTATTTCTGGTTTAGCGAGGCAAAGGAGTGCGCCGGCTGGGGATCGAACCCCGGACCATGTGCATGGTCGGCGAGCGTCCTAGCCGCTATGCCACCAACGCATTTATTAATGGATATTTATTCCCGAACCGGGGTTGCTTACCCACGGATCACAAATCCTCTCATTGACACGGAATGTCCGTTACCATGGGGTACATGGGCTCCAGAATACAATCGGATCAAACGGCGTGTCAACCCATATTGGTCACTGGAAACCATGCGAATGCAGCTCCTGACGCTGCTCCGCTGTCTTGCGGATTAGACTCCAAGTCAAAGGCTCGGGGGTAGTCCCTTAAGAAAACCACTTGCTTCGGTCTGGGCGCCCGGACAGTATCTCAGCCCTCACACAAGAGTGTGGCGCATCTTTCTTGGTGCCCCATATTGTATGAAGTTTTTTTCTGCATCCAAATAAATAAATAATAACGGAATGTCCGTGGAGATACCACCAATTTCACGACATGGGACATTGTTGAATTGAAACTGCACTTATTTCGTACACAAATTAGTAGAAGCTATCTGAATTCGTTTTTTGACAGAGGAAAGAGGTCAGAACATTGACATATAATCTGTATAGTTTATTTTGTGAAAAAGTCTTTGTAAATAGCGACGATACAACAAGCGAAATCGTCAATTTATTCGAGATTAATACAGACAATTATGTTTATAAAAGTTAAATTCACTTTAAGTGTCACTTAAATATTTCGGACTAATAACTACTCGGAGAAAAAAAAATAAGAATCACCAAGAAATTAGGAGAAATATTGGAGGAGGAGCCAACTGACGACAGGCCAAATGATGAATCGAAGTCTAAAGGATTTAGATAACCCTAACGAAAGTGACTTACCGAAGGCGCATAAACTCAACATCCCTATGAAGTCAATACTATTTATAGTTATAATTGACCGGGTCACAAAGTAGCCTGGTGGCTAGGAAAACTATTGGAGTTATACCATGTGAAGTTAGCTATTCACAGAGTAAAAGACACCTTTAAAATTCGCTAAAATGTTAGAGAATTTGAATCCCTCGAATAAATCTATGGTGTTTTTTGATGTATCATCCCTACTTACGAAAATTCCCCTGGAAGAAATTATGAAAATTATATATCAATGTTCTGACCTCTTTCCCCTACTTAAAAGAACGAATTCAAACAGTTTTTGTGTATCAAAGAAATAAAGTTTCAGTTCAACAATGTTCCACATCGTCAAATTGATGATGACTGTATTGGACACTCCGTCAGATCTGATTCTGGAAGATATCTTCTGAGGACGATAAGAAATAAACAAGATTGAAGTCTACAATCAGTCAGGAAGATCTCTTCGCTAGGCATGTCGATAGCAAGTTAGCCATTTGTAATTGTTTGAATGATGATCATCGCAAATACCAAATCTTTTGAATAATGTTTAACGGGTTGATCACGGATTGATATCAGTTAGAGAACCACTGAAAACAGCTGCTGTTTCATCCTAGTTTTGGGAATCATCGGCAGTACGCACCCACTGGGATTCGAACCCAAGACCTTCCGGTTACAAGGTAAGCTCGTATACCATTCAGCCACTGAGACCCAATTCAATGGCCAGTCCATGAATTCTAACTTCTACCAATTCGTGATTTAGCGCGACCCCAACCATTGTCGTTGGTGGGACATCCATCCAGTGGGTGAGTACTGCCGATGATTCCTAAACTAGGATGAAACAGCAGCTGTCCAGTACTCCCTGGTTTTCAATGGTTCTCTAACTGATATCAATCCGTGATCAACTCATAAAACATAACTAACTCTTACAAACCAAACTATAGAAGAATAATGTTTACCCTAACATGAATCTTACGATGGAGTAAGGACATGACTATAAATTTGATTTTTTTTTTCAGTTTTGCATCCAACATGAAGTGGGAACATAGTAAGCTACATCCATAGAAAAGTGACGTGGAGGACACATTATCTAAACTTTAATAGCTTTCGCCTTACAAGCAACAAAAAACAGTTTGGTAAGGACATAGTTTAATCGTATAAATAAGCTTTTTTCAGAGGGGAATTTTCAAGAAGAGTTATCTGTTATGGGAAAATGCCCTGTATGATAATGGTTACCCAAAGAGGCTCATCGACAAATATGGAAAAAAAACCAGAGTGGAAAAAGTGGACTGCAACGGACTGGAGAGAAATGTCATCATCTTTCTACAGCTTGCCCCTCCAGGGATGATGATAAAATCGGTGGCCTACTAAAATCAACAGACTGCGAAAACTTTTCATCCATCAAAATGTGTCATGTTTACCCCCTCCCGATTTCATTTGTTTTAATTATTGAATTACGTCTATGAATCGCAATCTCTTCTCATGCAAATTTTCAAATATTATACCTACACTGCACTGGAACAACTTGAAAACGGTGTGGAGCCAAACCTGCATAGAAATTCTAGGCAGAAAAAAGAGACAGGACAAACAGTGGCTCACTACGGACACTTGGAAACTAATAGAAGAGAGAAGGACAGTGAAGCAAAAGATTATCCAGTGCACGGACGAGCAACAAAAACAGGAGCTGAATGCAAGCTACAATACACTGAACAAAAGAGTGAAGAAAAGTGCCAGGGAAGACAAAAGAAAATATTATGAAACCATGGCAAACGAAGCAGAACAAGCTGCAGGCAAAGGAGACCTCGCCACACTCTACCAAACAACTAGGAACCTTTCGGGCAAACGTTCGACACAGATTAAGCCAATAAAGGACGACAATGGAAAGTCAATCACCAAAGAGGTGGAACAGAGAAAGCACTGGGTTGAACACTTCAAAAGACTTCTAAATCGTCCGCCACCTACAACACGTCCAGCAATACCAACAACGGAAGCAGAACTACCAGTGAACACTGACCCCCCGACGAAATCAGAAGTCCTGAATGCAATCAAGATGCTTAAAACTGGGAAAACACCGGGACCAGATGGAATCCCAGCAGAGGCTTTGAAAATAGACCCAGAGACAACAGCGGACTTGATGACACCACTACTGGAGAAGGTGTGGAAAGAGGGCAAAGTACCCGAGGATTGGAAGAACAGTTACTTATTCAAACTTCCAAAGAAAGGAGACTTAAGTCAATGTAAAAACTGGCGTGGAATTATGCTTCTGTCCATTCCAAGCAAGATACTAAGTCGCATCATCCTGGAGAGAATCAAACAAGCCCTAGATGAAAAACTTCGTCCGGAACAGGCTGGATTCAGGAGAAACAAATCATGTATTGATCAAATCGCCACTCTACGGATCATCATTGAACAAAGCTTGGAATGGCAGTCACCTCTCTATCTCAACTTCATCGACTTTGAAAAGGCCTTCGACAGCGTCGATCGAGAGGTCATTTGGAAACTACTTCGCTACTACGGGGTCCCATCGACAATTATACACCTCATCCAACAGTTATACGACAATGCTGCATGCCAAGTAATCCACAACGGGAAACTTACGGAAGCCTTCGAAGTGAGGACGGGAGTGAGGCAAGGCTGTCTACTATCACCAATGATCTTCCTGATTGCAATTGATTGGATAATGCGACAGACAACGGCAACCAACGAGGGAACAGGCATAAAATGGACTGACACAAAAGACTTGGAGGATCTGGATTTCGCCGATGATATATGTCTGATTTCCCATAAACTGGAAGATATGCAAGTGAAAAGTAACAAGTTGGCAGAAGAAGCATCAAAGATAGGACTTCACGTGAACATAGATAAAACAGAGATGATGAAGATTCCTAGCCAACATCAACAGCAACAACAGACCACAATAAGCATAAATGGGAAGAACCTGAAAGAAACAACCTCCTTCACCTACCTGGGAAGCATCGTCTCAACTACAGGCGGAACTGACGAGGACATCAAAGCCAGAATCGGAAAAGCAAGACAAGCTTTCATTACTCTCAAATCTGTGTGGAGGTCAACAGCAATCAGCATCAAAAATAAGATCCGGATTTTCAACTCCAATGTGAAGTCAGTGCTACTATACGGATCAGAGACTTGGCGAGTCATAAAGAGCATCTCAAACAAACTTCAAACCTTCATTAACAACTGTCTCCGCTCAATACTCAAGATCAGATGGCCAGAAAAGATCAGCAACAGGGATCTCTGGGAGCGAACCAATCAGGAACCGATTGTGAAACAAATAGGCAGAAAGAAATGGAGATGGATTGGCCATACGCTGAGGAAACCATCAAGTGACATCACTAGACAAGCCCTCGAGTGGAACCCGAAAGGGAGGCGGCGAGTTGGTCGTCCAAGGGTGACTTGGAGGAGGTCATGCGAGGAGGAGATGAAAGCATGTGGACAGACCTGGAGCAGGGTGAAAAAGTTGTCAGAAAACCGAAGTCAATGGAGGTGCGCAGCTGAAGCCCTATGTTCCTCTAGGAACTAAAGGATACAATAATAATAATAATACCTACAGAAACTTCAAGCCTCTAGCTTGAAGCCCTATGTTCCACTGGGAACGTGAAGGAATAAAAAATACCTACAACTGTGAAATTTTTGAAGAAAATGGAGGACGAACATTGTGGAGCATTGAAGCATGCTTCTCATGGAATAGACTTGCTGCATATATATATATATATATTTCCAGACGTAAAGCCGCACTGCAAAGAATGTATCCTACCGTCAAGATCGCATGTTTGTTTCAAACGAACAATCGGTCAAGACAATCAAAATTGAACATATTCCCACCTCATGTTACATCTTACCGCTAAAGTAATCACGCTATCGTAAGTCTAAAACTGGATCTTTGCAACCAAAAAAAGACAGTGGTTAACTTTCTAGTACCTCGGTGATTATACTTACTAAACAAAGGTATATAATTCCTTATTACGTCATGTATTCTTTTGTGTATAATTTTCCACATAAATATATTTATTTTTCCATCTGAACGCTACTCAACTTACTCTCCTGACTACTGCGAGATATTTGTTATACTTACACAACATACTCTGCCTCAAATCCCCGCCCACCTCGATATTTCCAATAGTCAATCTCTTATAATGACTAGTAATTTAACTACTCACAAGATTCTGAACTTGTATCACTTACAGTTCCTATCAATAACCCATCGTCAATAGGATGAAGGTGTGCTTAAACCTCTTTTTGTGATTTATATACTTTGATACTGTCCAGCCTGTAAGCAGTTCAAAAGAATCCGCTGGGAAATAATAAAACTGAGCTCATATTATCCTAATACATTTGTTATTTTTGCTTTGACGAAAAGTTTTAAGCTTGAAACGAATCAAATCCCCACCAACTGTCTCTTGAAAATTAGTAGAATGCTGGTTAGTCACTGGGCTCTACAGGAAAAAGTTGTCTGGAGTTCTAGTCAGAAGTAGTGATCAGTGTGGGGTCACCATCACCAGATTGGGAGTGAGAACAAACACTCATTGATAAAACTGGCTGGTGACAGTTGTGCTAAAATCACCAATTTGTTGAAAGTTTGGATTCATGGGCTAGCCATTGAGTAGTAGTGTCCCAGTAGCTGAACGGTCAGTGAGCTTGATTTGTAACCGAAACATCCTGGGTTCAAACCCTGATGATGGGTGTGTAGCTCGGAAACAACTGTCCAATACTCCCTGTTGGTTTTCAATGGTTCTCTGACTAATATCAATCCGTAGTCAAACCTAAAACGTCTCATCTTAATTACAATATATAACTAAGCTATACGATACATTACGTGCAAACCCTAACAAACCACAATGGGAAAAAAACCAGTTTTCATTCAACTCGATTTTAAAGATGAAAATATTACAGAAATGGTCAACAGAAGATTGAGTACGTCACTGGCCAGAGCCTATCCTGAAGCTAAGTTGGTTTCAGTCTATCGGATAACATGCTCCTTGGTGCAGTCAAAAGTAAATAGATACCCTTGTCATGTTAACTCCAACTGCGTATACAAATTTACATGTATCTGAGAAAGCAGTTACATTGGGAGAACAGAAAGAAGGGTAAACCTCCAATTTTCTGAACATGTACCGAAAAGCCTATGTCTCAAGAGAGCAAACGTTTACAACAATGCTATTACCAAACATCTCCTTGATACGAGTCATTAGGCACGAATCACAGAATCCTTTAAAATTATCAATAGACAAAAAAGTTCAATTCCCCTGAAGTTTCATGAAGCAATCTCTCCCTATAAAACGCCTGAGATATGATTCACGTGTTCAGAAAGAAGCAGTTATCGGTCTTTTCCCCTGTCCATCCTGGGGACTCGATGTCTTTATTCTCTCTTTCATTTGATCACGTAATCCTTGGCTTTGATCTCACCTCCCTCTGATATGGTGTAATTTTGCAAGTCTCTTTTCTCTCTGTGATTTCAGTTGAACTCAGTACACTGTTACCCAACTTATTGGTTACTCATCATTTGGTGCATCTCTCGTCTTTACTACGTAACTCCTTCACCGTTGTATGTGTACATTTACTTTGTTTGAACCTGAACTCCCTGTGTAAAACCCATGTAGGCGTAATTTTCTGACCACTTTTCAATGAGTTCGGAGCCTTCTGTCAACCGATATCATGTAAAATTTGCAAGTATGTTAAAACTTTGATGATATTAGATAGCTGGAGGCAATAGGCAGGAAGCTCAGACTTCGACCTAGGCTTCGTGCTAGTTGACACTCACCAGTCAGTCAGCAAGGCGTATCTGCAACGTTGAAGGAACTCATGTCTCGTCTGAGATTCGAACCCACATCACCCAGTGCTGCCTGAAGTCAGAGACGCTACCACTGAGCCATTCGGGCTCGCGACTGACCTCTTGTAGGACTGTAGTGGATACTTTGATTGGACACTAGTAACTAGTGTGACGTGTCTAGTCCTTTCTTTGGTATAGACTGAATTCCATCAGTCAGGTTTGTAATGTGGCCACCTGATTGATAGAATTCAGTCTGCACCAAAGGAAGGACAAGACACGTCGTACTAGTTACTAGTGTTCAATGAAAATGTTAAAATTCTCCTGTACATAAACTTAATTATTTATTTAGACTGTAAACAGCTTATGAGAAGCCAACAAAATAAATGCTGGTACCATAATTATTCTGGGAAAAACTATTGTTTTTGCTTTATTCAAACCCAAATAATTTGTCTTTGTGTAAATAAAAAAGGCGATTTTAAATTAAAAGAACAACTTTAATACTGCCTGGTTTTCTCACTATTACAATAACCTGTCTGAAACGATTTCACCAACAGCCATTCACTTATATCGGCAGTATGTAATAGTATGTGATAAAACCTGACTTGAAGATAAAAATGTATCAGTCGTTTAAATGACAAGTGGGTGAGACACTCTTCCCCGATCCCACTTAAACAAGGTCACACCGAGCAAGCTTAGTAGTAGCTCATACTGTAGCCGATAGTCCACAACTCAGATGGACGTAAACATTTCAGTTTAAACAGCATAATATCACATAAAACTAGCGAAATGAGGAATTTACGCTGCATTTACGCTGCAATAAAAGATTTATTAGAATAAATAAATGGGAAATGAAATATGCGATTGATTTACTATACTTACATGGTAAAGAGCAAATTCCACCCAATTTTTGAGGATCTGGAGAAGCTAACCAAGACATGCCTAAAATACCTTCAGCTACTCTTTTATAACTAAGTAAATGAGCCAGACAGGATTGTTTCACATCGAAACGACTAAATGCCTACACACAAAAGTAATGTAAATATATACATATTAAATCAATAAATACATGTATGTGTTAAGATTATTGAGCATTTCAGTAAAATAGTAATATTATAGATATATAAGTATAAAACTTGGGCACTGTAGTAGAGTATAACAACTCCATTATGGATAAGATTTTATTTTGATAAAATCATACAGTGTTATGAAGTAATATTAGCTGATGACCACGTTTCGAGCACAATTTATTACTCCTCATAATTATATTAAGTCACTCATATAACTACTTTCTTGCTTCGTTTATATAAATGAGTAAAATTGATGATTAGACATTTGAATAAAACTCAATATAAGATAGTGCACATTCAGAAATAGTATTAGTATTATCGATAAAATACAATCAGATGGGAAATAAGATGTTTTTTATAGTAGATGGTTGGAAGCAATCGGCAGGAAGCTTGGACCTAGGTTTCGTGCTAGTTGCCACTCATCAGCAAGACGTATCTCCAACCTTGAAAGAACTCATGTCCCTTCTGAGATTCGAACCCGCGTCACCCATGTTTTTTTTATAGTAAAATAGAAACTTGTTAGAGTGTTATAATATGAATTGAAATACATTCTAACATTATTTATTATCCTCCTCTGATTTGACTGGTGGTAATAATATCTTCCATATCTCTGGCACTCGCATTAAGTCATTTCTGTTGCATGTGTTGGGTTGTAGACCCGTTGAACAGCGATTCAGTAATCAATCTCTCTCTTTCTCTCCACCTACCGATATTACTCTTAGAATTCTGACTCTGTCCCACTCACTCTATTGTGTGGTTGTGTGTTAATGCAGGCAGTGTAATGCAGTGCTGTGTTTTTTTCTAAATTACTTATCTTCGTGGGACCAATCTTTCTAACCTTAGTTAAATTCTTATGTTCTGATAATCTCACTACTGCTGACCTATTAGTTTTACCTATGTAGTTGACCTCACTCACAGTCATTGCAAGGTATTTTGTAAATTATATTATTTCGTTTAATTGGATCAACGTACCGGGTCCTTTAGCCTACAGAGCTTGTTTCTGTCTGAGTGAGTTTGTAGGTTTGAATCCACCCTAATTCCTGTCTTACTGTAATATATGTGACAACTAGAAAAACTAATAATCTAGGCCTTCGGTTTTAAAAGTAAATAATTACCTATCAGAATATTAATATCAATGTCCGTTCCAAAAAATAAAAATTCATTTTTTCACCTTACTTTATCATAAATAGAAGACAAATAATTTGTCTTCATAAATTCTAGTAAATCGATATATAATGAGATAGTCAATCTTTTTTCAACTTCATATGAAACAAATCGGCTGTACAAATTTCTTCTAAACACAGAGAATAATCAGCTTTCTCAGGTGGCTTTCGATAGGCTTCTCTTGTAGGTAGGTATAAAAAACGAACTTGTAAAGTGAACTGCGATAACTCGATAGCCCAGAAGGCTTTCTCTATCAGTTTTACGCAGAGTGACTTGATGAAAAATTATACATTCTGTAAAGTAACCAGACCAGTGGAAATTTGGTTAAGGTTACAAGGGGAAAATGTGATTCAAAGTGTAACGGAATAATTATTTGGAAAATCCCTTCTAGGTGATCTAATTGGATTTAATTGGCGGATGGTGACTAGCAGTGGAATCCAGGATGCACACTTCGTCCTATTTGGGATTCGTCATATGGATGTACCTGCATTCTCCAGTGAGTGATGATGTTCCCACCGAGGCTTGAACCCGGTGCCCATAGTTTCAAACGCCAAAGCGTTATCCACTAGACCATTCGGGCCACGAGAGCCACCACCTATGCAACGTGTTATATCATTTTTTTACATACGCTTTAACTAAAAGCATATAAATTATTTAATTGAATTTTAGATTTTCCCGTCGATTGACTGTGCCGAAGTGCTAGGTCTCAGGTTAACATGTTGGCTTCTTGTGCAGAATTAAATAATTAATATGACCCGTTACACAAGAGGTGGCTTTCGTGACCCAAATGGTCTAGTGGTTAACGCTGTGGCGTTCGAAACTACAGGTACTGGTTCGAGCCTCGGTGGGAACATCATCACTCACTGGGGAGTGCAGGTACATCCAGATTACGAATCTAAAATAGGACGAAGTCTGCATTCCGGATTCCCCTGCTAGTCATCATTCACTAATCAACTTCTAATAACATGCCCAGACATTGTCAAAGCATCTGCACAAGAAACCAATAGATATGTCAACCTGAGACCGAGCACTTTAGTCCAATCAATCGACGGAAAACTCCAAAATTGAATAAATAAGAAACTCTGCCTGGGAACAAACAAACCAAAATCCGATTGCTCAACAAATATGTAGAAGAACATGGAGATGGACTGGGCATACGTTGAGGAGGTCATCAATGACATCGCACGCAATGCAGGTCCTCACTCGAGTAGAATCCTAATGGGAAGCGACGAGTGGGTGGTCAATGCGAGGGTGACATAGAGGAGATGAGGGATTATGGGCAATCGTGGACCTAGGTGAAGAGGACAGCAGAAAATAAAACAAAGTGGAGATGTTTTATTGACGCCCTATCTATGTTCCACTCGGAACCCAAGGGAAAAACAATAATAAAATAATGTATCTGGGCCGATGAATCATCACACGCTTTTCTTGAATGTTACAGAAACCAGTTGTACTAACCAAAGCAAAGTAGTTGAGTACGGAAATAAAACTGTGTTGACATACCTAACACCCTTCATGTCAGTATCACTAAACTATGCGCATTCTGACTTACATTAAAAATACATATTTTAAAATAAAAACCTTACCTGCAACAAAGATGTAGCTGTCCACATTTTCCCGCCTATATCAGTTGGTGAATTGTAATGCCCAGCATTAGATGTCCATGACTCATGAATTACAATCTATGATGGTAGGATCAAAAAAGAAAAGAAAAGAGACAAAAATCATCAGCAAAACAAAGAATAAACAAGACAATTTTGAGATAGAGAATCCTGACAACACTCACCTCTTGTAGTAAAAATCCATAACCAGTCATTTCACCATTTTGATTATCCAAAAATTTCGATGTAAGAAAAAGATAATTTAACCTATCGAATAATTTAATCTTTAATAGAAGGAAAGTAGAAAAAAAGGTATTATTACTAATATTATTGTTATTTAGGTGATTAATAATGTCAAAGAAATGATCAATTAAACTAACAATATGACTGATTGTTTTTGGTCCATCCTTATTACCCAAATTTGTGTAAAAAGCATAATCAGCTATAAGAGTTAAACGGCAAAATTTATGTTGTGCTTCGTGTGAAATTGAACGTTTTCGTCTGTTGTAATCATCTATAAAAAAAAACAGAAAAAGACAACAAACAATAAACAAGAGTAGTCAATGATAATGCTTGGATGTGAGTGAAGTGGATATCATGAAACTACTTATCTAATTTCATGCATTTATTCCCCTTGATGAATTTGAATAAAGCAAGAACAACAGTGGTTTGTGCAGAATAATACGTTAGCATCATTTATTTCGTTGGCTTCTCATCAGCTGCTTGCTTACAGCCTAAATAATTTATGAGGTTTAAGTACAGAAAAGTTTTAACATAATTGCAAATTTTACATATTGTCAGTTGACAGAAAGTTCCACAATTAGTGAACAGTGCTCAGAAAATTGCGCTTATGTATTTTTTACACAGGCAGTTCACGTTTAAACAAAATAAATGTATGCATACAATGGTAAAGGAGTTACGTAATAAAGACGAAATACGCGTTAGATGCAGAGTGTCTAGTAAATTAGGTAACAGTGTACTGAGTTGAACTCAAGTCATAGAAACAAGAGACAAGCAAAATTAAGGATTATTAAAGGGGTGAGGTTAAAAACAAAGATTACGTAATCAGATGAGAGAATAAAGACATCCAGTTACCAGGGCAAGGAAGGACTGACAACTGTTTCTATCTGAACACATAAATCTGGTTTCAAGCGTTTGGTAGAAATTGCTTCGGCAAACTTGAGGAGAATGGAGCTCCTTTGTCTACTGGTAATTTTAAAGGATTTCTCGACTTCCACCTGCATGACCTTCACTTTCCTGAACATGTACCGAAAAGCCTACGTCTCAAGGGAACAAATGTTTACAACAATGCTGTTACCAAACATCTCCTTTATACGAGTCATTAGGCAGGAATCACAGAATCCTTTAAAATTATCAATAGACAAAAAAGTTCAATTCCCCTGAAATTTCATGAAGCAATCTCTCCCTATAAAACACCTGAGATATGATTCACGTGTTCAGAAAGAAGCAGTTATCGGTCTTTTCCCCTGTCCATCCTGGGGACTGGATGTCTTTATTCTCTCTTTCATTTCATCACGTAATCCTTGGCTTTGATCTCACCTCCCTCTGATATGGTGTAATTTTGCAAGTCTCTTTTCTCTCTGTGATTTCAGTTGAACTCAGTACACTGTTACCCAACTTATTGGTTACTCATCATTTGGTGCATCTCTCGTCTTTACTAGGTAACTCCTTCACCATTGTATGTGTACATTTACTTTGTTTGAACCTGAACTCCCTGTGTAAAACCTATATAGGCGTAATTTTCTGACCACTTTTCAATGAGTTCGGAGCCTTCTGTCAACTGACATCATGTAAAATTTGCAAGTATGTTGAAACCTAACTTAATAGTAATTTCTTTAGTCTTTAAGCAAGCAGCTGATGAGAAGCCAACGAAACAAATGATGGTACCATATTATTCTGCACGAACTACTGTTGATCTTGCTTTATTCAAACTTATCTAATTACTTGAGGTAGACTAATGCTGTATGTTCGATTATCGAATTTCTATTCCTTTGGCTTTCAAGAGGAACATACGGCGTCAAGCCTTGAGCTTTGAAGTTTCAGTAGCGGTGGTGTGTAACGACAGGAGACAACTGCTAGGAAACATCGTTTGTGGAGAAAATCAACAAATATTTATTTATAGATTTTTATGTACATTATTATTAGCGTTACTGTTAGCAGAGAAGCAACGTCTTCTGATTGTTTGTTTTCCTGCTGAAGGTTATTCTGTCATCTCTTTGTGGCCGTTTCTTAGACAGTTCGGTGATATATCTGCGAATCGTATCCGTCCACGCTAAGTTTGCTGTGATTGGTTGTTGAGTTCTTGTTTTTCCCCATGACCCCGATTTGGGACGTAAACATTGACGTAAATTGTTGTCTACAATTTTTTCTTGCAGACAGCTCTCACCACAGTGGTACTATTGTTTTGCTTTCACGGGGGAGGGGTTCCTAGTCACATGTCGAATCTTCCCTATTAACCGGGCTTACTACTGCCTAAGTGAGCTTTAGAAGTGTATCAGCCAGAGATCGAACGCCGCACCACCTAAGTGATTAGCAAACGTTTGACTGCTGAACCATCAATGCTCGACAGACCGAGATGGTGAGCTCGGGTACTACTGATTAACAAACATTCACTTTTAACTTAAACTATGCGCCTTTCTAGTGATATATCTGAATGTTTATTGAAATATGAGTGATCTGACGGAGTCTGTTGACTAGAATTAGCTCCAGTGTAATCAAATCAACCTGATACCTCTCCATAACTTCAATGGGGTATCAAGGACGTTTTAAGAGATACACTAAAGATGTACTGGGTGCAGAATGCAGTCCAAAACAAGCTGGATTCAGGAACTGGGTCATGCCATAGACCTTGGGAATTGCGAAGACAGGAATACGTTGGGACGATAAGAAGACTGTAGAAGATCTGGATTTCGCGGACGATATATGTCTATTTCCACACAGATTCGAAGATTCATATAAGAAAACCTACAAGTCGTGAGAAGAAGCGACAAAGGCAGAACTTCAAGTGAACATAGAGAAGAAGACAGAGGCGACAAAGATAGTGAACCAAAAACAACAGGCACCAATCACCATCAACAGGAGAAATTTGAAAGACTTCACTTCCTTCACTTATCTAAGCAGCATCACTTCAACTGCAGGTGGGTGGCATACATGAGGATGTCAAAGTCAGAATCAGAAAGGCAAGGTAGACCTTTGGAAATCCACTGCATCCAGCATAAACAACAAAATTCGGATTTTCAACACCAATGTTAAGTCAGTCGCTGCTTCTGTATGCGTCAGAAAATTGCTATGTGAGTCACGAAAGGTATTCCCAACAGGCCATTTCAAACTTTTATCAACAGCTCCCCACTTCTCTAGCTGTATACTGAAGATCGGATGCCCAATCGGAAAGAATTAGGAACACGGAACTCTGCGGGAGAACCAATCGAAGACCAGTCATCACCCGACAGATATGCAGAAGAAAATGAAGGTGGAAAGTTGAGGAGACTGTAGGATAACATTGCGCGACAGGCCATCACTCGAATGGAACCCGAGTGGGAAGCGACACGAGTTGGACATCGTCTTAGGGTGACATCAACGAGATGAAAACTTATGGGCAGTCTTGGGGCCAGCTAAAGAGGACTGCAGACAACAGATGTGCTATTGAGGCCCTATATTCCACTAGGAATCCAAGGAGATAATAATACAATGGTTGTTACTGAGATATTTTCAAGTTTTAACTTTTCTTGCCTATATATCCCTTGTACGCTAGTGCTCCTCTACTACCCAGGTAACTACCTACCTATTCAGGTAGGTTCCAGTGGGAATTCGTGGCCAGTAGGGTGCAGCTGGTCGGGTGTGAGGACAAATACTCGCCGAAGACATTGGCTAGCGGTCGCGCTATGTCGTGAATTGGCAGAAGTTAGAATTCAAGGACCATTGGATCGGGTCCCAGTGGCTTAATGGTATACGAGCTCGCCCTGTAACCGGAAGGTCCTGGTTCGAATCCCGGTGGGTGCGTACTGATGAAGAGTCCCAAACTAGGACGAAACAGCTGTCCAGTACTCCCAGGTTTTCCAAGAATTGTTGGATTTAGAAATGAAAATTAAAAGTTGTTAATAACGTAGTACTCAACGGCACAAAGATAGAAATTTGATAAGGTTAAGATTGCTCTTGATTGAGAATAGAGGTATTTGAGTGTCAATTTAACAAGTGTGAAGAGGGTGTGGAAATCTACAAAAGGAGCATATGAGAGTGATAATAGTGAATTAATTATTAAAGCAAAAGGAAAATTTAAAAGGAAAAGAAAAAAATCAAAATATTTTACAGGGAACGACTAATGAAGAGGTTAATACCAAGGTAGAATAAGAGACTGAACTAACCTTTTCTGTATACAGAGTTCAGGGTTGTATTGATGAATTGCCAAAGCCTCCGCCTTACACAAAAGCTAACACCTGATGCCCTTTGTACCATTCGGCTTCACTTTGTAGATGAGCTTGAAAGATGACTCTGGTAGAGCTACGTGGCCTGAGTTCACCAAATGCTCGAGAATTGAGTTGGTAATAGTCTTACATTGTCCCTTTGCTAACCATGCCGGATTATGGCCAGAGATGCGTTTGGAAAGCGTGCACTTTGTGCGGGCAATATAACCAGAGTCATCTTTCAACATCATCTACAAAGTGAAGCCAAATGGTACAAAGGGTGTCAGGTTTCGGCTTTTGTGTATGGCAGAGGCGCTGGCAATTCATCAATACAACCTGAACTCTGTATACAGAAAAGGTTAGTTCAGTCTCTTATTCTACCTTGGTATTAACCTCTTCATTAGTCGTTCCCTGTAAAAAATTTTGATTTTTTCTTTTCCTTTTAATTTTCCTTTTGCTTTAATAATTAATTCACTATTATCACTCTCATATGCTCCTTTTGTAGATTTCCACACCCTCTTCACACTTGTTAAATTGACACTCAAATACCTCTATTCTCAATCAAGAGCAATCTTAACCTTATCAAATTTCTATCTTTGTGTTGTTGGGTACCACATAGTTTACAACTTTTAAGTTTTTACTTCTAAAGCCACTTCTGAGTAATTATATCAATTGTTGGATTATTAGGAACAATATACAAAAGACAGTGGAGTATGCTAGTTAATCAGTGGTCAAAAGAAAGCAGAATTTCGGTAAACACTATCCATTGCAATTCAAAGCTGAAATTAGAAATACCGAACAAACAGAACATCAAATAACGACAATCAGTTTGGAGTTATGTTCTCCAGTGAAAATCCTACACAGATTATGTAACATAAAAAAGTTTTGCATTTTTTGTCATAATCAATACGATGATGAGCAATAAATTGTGCTCGAAAGGTGGTCATCAGTAAATATTACCGTATAACACTGTAAGAATTTATCAAAATAAATTTTATCCATAATGGAAATATACTCTACCAAAGTTCACGAGTTCTATTCTTATGGTCACGATACTACAATGATCGAAGATAGACAGGTGATAGAATAGTCAGATTTTTTAGGGTCTGGACGAAGACAAACAGCAAATGCATCTGTAAACATTTTCGAGCTGTCACTAAGAGTCTCCAACTACCGGTTATTAGCAACGCAACGACCCTAGTTAGAATCTAAAGCCCCTAAGTCGCTCAAACCACCAGTTAATGAATTTGTGGATTGGTAAGGTATTCTGTCTGACTACTTCTAACTCTTTTCGAATCCATTTCTATTCCAGTTCACGTTGTTTTTCTAGGAGTGTGATGAATTGATATATATAAATATATATATGTATATATATATATATATATATATATATATCTTGCGAAACAATGGGGCAAATGCATATGTTTCAACTCCGATAATCATGTCTCAGCCATATATTGAAACGGAGCCATCTGGCGCACAGTGCACATATCCTTTGATGAATATGCGGGTGGCATATCAGTTCATATCCTGAAGGACATTTCTAATACCATATACAATCATCTTAACGATGCATGAAATCTTCAGATGAACTGCCTAGTGCATGAATCGAAAATAAACATGTCGGAAAACTCAGACTTGAGAAAATTAAAACAGGGAATCTCAGCACCCTTATCTAGATAAACCTACAATTATCACATATCTTTCGGGGAAATATACTAATAACATTAATAGACCATCTCTATAATACACTGAAAATTACCAATCCATCGTGTATTTAGTGTTTGTTTTTGTGGATTAGATTACTGAGATTACACTCTATTCTAACTCATCCAGCCAGGGCTTACGGAGAGTTGTCACCTGAAGTGGTGACGACTAGTGATGTCCATCAGGGATGTCCGTTATCCCCATTTCTATTCAATTTCATCATAGATGCACTGATGGACTTAACCCTAACTCACTTCAGAGACACAGGGATTGACTTGCTACCAGGGAATAATCTCGTTGACTTAGAATATGCGGACGATATAGTCCTTCTAGGCGAGGACGCTGAAAAAATGCAGAGTCTTCTGAACACCTTGAGCTGCAATCTACGAAGGTTTGGTATGCGATTCACTCCCGCCAAATGCAATATGATGGTATAGGTCTGGACTACACTGACTCCTAGCTTAGAAATAGGAAGTGAAGTGGTAGAGCACGTTGACCGCTTCACTTATTTGGGAAGTACCATCAGCCGACTGGTTGATCTCTGACGAAATCTCCGCATGGATACAGAGGGCTAGTTTCGCATACGCCAGTTTACGCCACCTCTCGCGTAGACGTGATATCCGGCTGGCTGTCGGCCAAAGGGCGGGTGTACTGCTCATCAGTCCGCTCCGTCCTCCTTTATGGCTGAGACCTGGACATTGTGAGTGGAAGACATGAAAAGGCCGGCTAGATGTCTTTGATCATAGGTGCCTGAGTTCTATCTCCCGTGTAATGTGGTGGTATAATAAGGTGAGCAATATTGAGGTTAGGCGTCGAGTGCTAGGTAAGGAGGGAAAATCGATAGACGAGGCTGTGAAATTACATCGACTGAGATGGTTGGGATATGTGTTACGCATGCCTAGTCATCACCTTCCTCGACAGTGGGCAATGTTAGCTGACATAGGGTGAGACTGGTTGGAAACAATTGGTGATTCGGCTGGCTCAAAATCGTTCTCAATGGCGTTGGAGCAGATGCATCCACTCCTTGTGACTTATAATTTCCAATGAAACTATATTGTTCTTCGTTATTACTATTCCTTTGTCTCACACCTCTGCTTACTGTCTCTAATATGCATTTCTTCTACTTCCTTCTCTTGCTTTGTATGCTACATGGATTGTGACGACTTGAACTGCCGCATATCGGTGCAAAGCTCTATGTCGAAAACAGACAGACAGACAGACTGGGGTTACAAGTAAGTAAAAACTGAATAATTCACTAAAAATAATATGACTCCTCTAAGCCTAAATATTGTGAACGGTGAATACAAAGGAAGATGACCAAAAAGTAGTTATCTATCTGATGTGGTATATTACGATATTTTAAGATACATAATACAAGTAGCAGAAGAAACATGTCCGTATAAGATGGCATGTCCTCGATAATTCATGAAAAATACCTGCGTTCTATTAAGTTTTTCAACGGAAACAGATAACGTTTCTGTTACAAATTCAACAACACAGATGTATCACATTTTCATGTGAATAAAAAGTATTTAATAAATTTCCACCGGAAACAACACAAGAAAATACAGTGAATACTAAACATCAACGCGGTCTTTATAAAGGTCTTCCGAAGAAAAGAAAAAAATTGTAAAATAAACTGAAAGATATTCGCCTAAACCATACCTATGATTAATAGATGTATTTGTGCTAGGCAATAAGTAAAGGATAAAAAGATGGCCTAAATTAAATTAGATTAAATTAATTAGAGTATTAATAACTAACCAAAAGTGTCAGTTTTTATGGGCCAAAATGTAGTTGACGAAGTATAGTGCATTGGTTTACTACAATGCAAATAATAACAAATAAACGACAGCACACTACATTCTTACCTCGATGATTGTATCACGTGAATATCTCTCAGACGATACATTAACATAGAATTATTTCCAGTGTAAACTGCATAGTCGGCCAAAGGCTAAAAGTAACAGTTAATATATTACAACATACTTCAATAACATATACATCTGAATTTATATGAATATGTGCACTTAGCACTGATCTGTGCTCATCCAGATGTGCTAACACAAATGAGTGCTTTGACTCTGATACATATCCAGTGTACAATTCTGCATATTTAGTCTTTGTATGCAAAGAGCGAGTCCGACTGGTGCTAATAAATCTGACAGTGAAGTTAGATGTACGAAACGATATTTCACGATGTAGAATAAGATACCATGACCTGTGAAAAAGAAAATTATTCAATAGTAATAACTACCTTCCCCAAGCATAAAACATAGTTTGCTTGGTCTCACGTCCATTAATATCCCGTGTAGTACGAAAGAATGGTTTGTCGAATAACTGATATTGTCTTAGTTGTGAGAATATGCTCGATTCTGAAACAAAATTTGAACCTATCACAACTAACGAGTAAAAATTACCTGCTTTGAAAGTAAACTGGATAAACAGGGCTACAAAAAACAATAAATACATTGTTCACAGCCTATTATTAGCTGTTTAAACCTCATAGTGAACTATGAGAACTCAAAACAATATCCGAAAGTTCTATAGGATAGCGCACATATGTTGATTGAATTATGAGAACGGCGACATCAATAAGAGGATCTAAAACTGACAAGATGTCAAGAAACAATTTTTTTAGTTAGTTACACGATAACGTTTTCCCCAATCTTGAAATTACAATTTCACGGTTACACTGTTAATTAGACTATAGCACATTGTGCTGAATTTGACTTTCTTCCCTTTAGTAAATCCTTAATTAGAAAGTGAGAAAAAAGCGGAATAGTTTCATGTCCATAGAATCCTTCTATTACTCCCGATATGCTTAGTTAGATAAACAATCAGGCAAACTCATCATCATGGTTCTTCAAACTAGACCTATACAATCAGTCCATGATATTCTAAAAACCAACATGAAATCACAATATTTCGGAAAAATAACAATCTAAGGGGAAGGAAAGTCTTTGAGAAAAGATAAGATCTACACAGGAAGTGTGTTAATCGAATCTTCTGAGTGTGAAAGATTATTCTTAACAGTAATTTAGACCTGTTATTTTATGCAATTCGCACGGTATGGTTTCAAAGGCACTTGAAAGCCATAAGGTCGTTTGCTTCCCAAGCCAATCACGTACTATACATAGAAAGCATTGATACCTCTGATTGACTTATACATTAAAAACACTGACTATTATGATGTTGTTACTTGAATGGCATTATATCGTCTAACTGCTTAGTCCTTTTAACAATATGAAGCATGCCTTTACGCTATGCAATTGGCCAGGCTAAACCATGGACACTGGCTAAAATTGGAGTACCTAAGCTAACGAACTATTTCTAAATCTGTAAGGCATCATTCTTTGAATACATTATGAATATAATCAGATTTGCACTATGATACTTAAATTTACCAAAGGATAAACAAATAGCACACCAACAACAATACTCCGTAGTCATAAGCTTTCTTTTAGTTATTCTATTCTTATCTTATTCTTGATTACAGCTTGATTCCACACTGTATTTTTGGTACAAGTATGGAATTTTCAGCGTGGATATCGGTAGCCCAAATTTCGCAGGCCGACACAGATATCAGGTGTGCGTCGGCGTGGGCTCGAACCCCGGACCATGTGCATGATCGGCGAGAGTCCTAACCACTGTGCCACCGACGCACAGTTATTAGTTTTCCCCCATTAAAATTAACCAATAAGTACATAATTTCGTTTTTTCTTTTTTGTTACATTGCGAAACAACGCATACGCGTAATTTAATCACCACCTACTCTATAATTAATTTTTCTGTTTTAACATCCCATCAATATATGAGATCTAATGTAAGAAAAACTCTTTATCCAGAATAAAATGCTTCAAAGCCTACTGCAAAATAACGTGTGAAATAATCTTATTTAAACTTTCGTAAAATTGGAGGCACTTTAAAACTATTAAGAGGCTAGATGGCTTAAACTAAGTCAAAGACAAGCAAAACGTAATCATACAAAATAGCGGTTCAACTCAACGACCAACAAAGTGAACCTGAACAACTAATCACATCCCCATTTGCACAAAGAACCCCAAACACAAATCACATTGTTTCACTACCGTTGATACAACGTTTGCGGTCGCAGGGAAAATTATTTTTACTGATCAGTAGGGTGTGTGTTTCCAATTATTGTCACTGAAGCTCATTTGCCACAAAGTGAATCAGAGTTCAGATTTTGTCGATGCAATAACTGTGACTAGTACGAACTCAATAGGACTTTCGGAACACTTGAAAAAAATGAGAATAATAAGTGCATTGTGAGATTTTATACAATCACACATAATAAACGCCTGTTTTCTGGAACGACTCTGATGGGTTGTTTAAGAACACTTAGTTGAAAGTTAAATTCGGCTGCCATTCCTTTTAATTAGAAAGCAGAAACAGATGGGTTTACTAGCTGCCACTGAGCATTTAGTAGTAGTGAAGATAAGATCAATAAGTGAGTCACTAAAATCAGGCAGATATTTAAGAAATCAGGGAAAAATTACAATCCAGTAGTCATCATACCGAAGCCTTGTAGAAAGAGATTCAGCCCAGGCATTTTTGGAAGATTCTTAACTGCCTATATATAACATCGAACCCTTAGTACACTTACATGTTCCTGCTAAACAACACAAACTTTATATGAGAGAAGTCTCTCTGTGAACAGGTATGTACATACCAACGTTGGTATGAATCCAGACTGCTCCATTTAGCTAATTTCCGTCAGTAAGACAACGGTTTACTATCGTCTTTACATTCACAAACTAACTAAACTCTTACTCAATTCAAAGACACAAATGTTTATCAATAAGCTTATTGAAAAAAATTTATATATGCAGAGAGCTCTGGAGAGAAATTTTGGTAAGGAACTCATTAGTTGCTGTAGTCTTTACTTATCCTTCGACAACTACCAGCATAAAAGCAGTTAACAAAAGGACAACCAAATTATAATGGAAATATTGCGAAATTATCAAGCAGTCTATAGGATTGGTCTTATTAAAATAAACGCATGATACACTGATGCACATAGATAATCAGTCTTTCGGAAAATCTGAAATAAACCTGTTAAATTCGGCCTACAACCGTCTGATTAATTTCCTAGGCTACGCTTAGACAGACTCTCTCAAGTTAACTACTTACACGCAAAACTACGAAAAACACCGTAAAACAAGGGTTTGTAAATAGCTCCAAGGTCACCCATAACCACTAGTAGCCAATATCACTTTTACCAGCTATAGATCTAGTCGATCCCTTTGTCTCTGTTCATAACCAATAAGGTAATATCTCCCACCTCTCGGTGGATGATTGTCTGTGTTGTTTTTTAGTTAAAGCCTCACTAGAGATTTTTGTTGAAGTGGTAAACACATTACTCGTGGTTCTAGGAAAGGTCTTACAAGTCGCCCATGGAGTTCCGAAATCTTAATATAAGTGTACGCCATAATCTTTAGGTAGTTACTTACTATGACTCCTAGGTCGGTATGTCTAAAATAAAGAGGAAGTTGGTCTCTTGTATACGCCTAAACTCTGGCAACTAATGCTCGTAGTTACATGACTGGAAATGTCCATCTTTTAGATTGTCGAGGTGCGTCTGTGGTATGAGTCAGTCACTGGCTTCCTGCAGCTTTCTCTGAATTTTAGGTCATCTACGTAGAAAACTACACGAGATTTTATTAGCCTTGGTGGTTCGTTGTTATACAGTTCAAACAAAAATGGTTGGAGTACAGTTTCTTGCAACATACTGTTAGTATATCCCGGTTCAGGAGAAGAGTTTGCAGTTGGTGTTAGCTCTATCTCCCACTGACTGCCAATGTTATGAACGACCTCTCATCAGGTTTCCCAAAAACCATGCTCGTGATTAAGGTTTGATTCATAAACTATAAATGAATGTGGACATTGAACGTTGGTTCGTTAACCTTGGTCGCCATTGGCGGCAACTCGAAGGCACGAATTGTAAGGCATGGTAAGTTCAGCGGTTTTCTAATGTTCAAACTATGCTTGTCTACTTTCAGGTCGGCTACGAAGTATGCAGGGTTTGGTTACCCAAGACGAGGCAATGGATGACCAATAGAAGTGCCCCTTCCCTCTTATCTCATTGTATTGCGATTGGTTGTAAATATAACACTTGACCTTGAGTCCTCGTTCTTACTAGCACGCGACTTGTGTGATCGCACTGCTAACGTGCGCTTTGCTCCCTGTTTCAGATCATTGCTTGCCGAGTGGGATTACAGAATGATTCAACCACGTACAAGCTGGAAGAAGACGAAGGAGTACGAATAAAAATACAGTACATTCATTGTAAAACATTTATTTATAGACTGTGTACAGAGTATCGATTTTAACTGTCGGAGAATACAATCTGTTGTAATTCATTGTGTTTTGGAGTTAAAGTCGACCTTGTAATCAGAATAATTGTCGATTCGGAGAGTCTTCAGAAATAATAGGAACTTAGAGTTAAGTTCCTTGACAGTTTTTATTCTTCCGTTCGTTCTTCCGGTACGCCTCCTGGAACCCTTTCGTAGAGTATTTACTTGGTCTGCAGTGGGTATCTTTAGACACGCAATTTGGATCTTTTGCTGACGTTGAATAACGCCTGGGCCAAAAAAGGGATGCGGCATTTTGAAAGCAGACAGGAAAGTAAGTGATATTGAGTTGAATGTTATGTCTGATGATGCGTATGATGCTCAGCATAAAAAGCCTGAAGTTCATGTTTCGATGTCTAGTGACAGTAGGGGTTTCAAGCTACCTAAATTCGAGCCTCGAAACTTTGATGGAAACCCATCCGACTATCCACAGTTTATCAAACAGTTTGAGATCATGTTGAGTGGTTTTTATTAAAAGATGAAATGCAGTTGATGAATCTGTTGATGTATAGCACTAGTGTTGCCTCAACAGTTATACATCGCTGCAAGTTTAGGGTCCTAAACCAAAGATACAATGAGGTCATGAGCATATTAGGTCAAAGGTCTGGGACGCAAACAAAGATATCCAGGAGTGTTACAAAGACAGTTAAGGGTAACGGTCCCAGGCGCCAAGAAAATACAAAGAAACTCGATATGGATAGGAATACTTTCTTCTTCTAAACGAGTACACTAAGTTGTAATAATCTAAAAAAAATTTTTATTATGCTACGCTTTAACCATTATGTGCATACATTTATTTTGATTTAACCTGAACTGCCGGTGTAAAAATACATAAGCGCGATTTTCTGGGCACCGTTTACTAATTGTGGAATATTCCGTCAATTGACAACATGTAAAATTTGCAACATAAAAAACGTTGCTGTACATGAATTTCAAAATTAACTTGGGATGCAAGCAAGCAGCTGATGCGAAGCCAACGAAAAATATAATGCTACACATTATGCTGCTAACGCAATGTTGTTCTTAACTCAGTCAAATACGTCACGGAGAAATAATGAATGAAGTTACAAGAATACGCTGATCTCGATGAATCGCATGAGCGATCTGAACTCAAGTTCCGTCCTAGAGGTAGTAGCGAGACGCCCACCTACTCGACTGCAAAGGAAGTGGGTAAAGATGAGCTCCTGTATGGAGGATGAAGGTATTGAGCCAAAGTTCGACGATATTCTGAAACTGGTAAAAGATAGTGTCAATCGATCTATGAGCAAGTTTGCCAGTATATTGCATCCCACCCCTGGAATAGAGAAGTCTGAGAGCGAAATGCAATCATTTATGACGAAGGGGTCTCAGAGAATTGGACATCGAGAAAGCTTTATGGTGCCTAGTAATCCACATAAACTTAGTGAGTGTAACAGCTTTTGTGAGAAATCCCCAACAGATAGGTTACAAGTTGCGAGACAAGCATGGTTGTGTTTTACACGTTTGCAAGAAGTGCATACAAGGGCGAACCGTGAAGAAGTGAACAAGCTTAATGGTAAGCTAAATGTGAAATCAGCGTTGTCAAGGTCTGACTGCGAATTGTGTGATGATAATGGTGCAGTGAAGAAGCCTGTAGTTGCAACTGGTAAGCCATTGTAGAATAGAGTGTCACAGACGACACCGCAGTTTGTGCGAGAGAAGAGAGTTACAGTTTCAGAGTCCAGTTCTGACTCCACAAGTTTACAAAGTATTACTAGCCAGAGTAAATGTATGAAAACCCTAAACATTTGTGAGGAAGAACCCAAATCATCTTCTTCTGTGATTAAGGAGTTTGAAAGTGATGAAGTTGATCATACAAACAGAGGTAAGGTGGATATTTTTGACAGTGGTCATGATAGCGCACATTTGTCCTTGGCTGACCATGATGAGATGAAGAGAATGCTCACTACCGCCGAGTTGTAAAAAGGTTCTGTACAGCTTGAACGTGAAGTAGAATTAAATGCAGATGCAGTTGCAGAAGGTATGGATACTCGTGAGACCGTCAACGTAAATAATCGGCGCGTAGTCCACCTATCGACAGATGTTAAGACTGAACAGTAGCTAATCATAAAAGATAGCAGTGGTGGTGATCCTACAGTTAGATAACCTTCTAAAAACAGA